AAGAATTGCATTCTCTTAGTTCTATATGACAACATTGGATAACACGTTTATTCCTCAATTAAGATTCCACATTAATCTGTTGAATATCATGTTACGAAATGTCTTCTTACATACAGCAGATAGAAACTGTCATCACCTACGACAAGCTATGACACGATCAAAATCTAAAGCGCAGGAAATGGGGAAACAAAACATCTCTCACTCACCAACATTGCTTTAATCTCGCTTTCATTTTAAAACTCTTCGTGCCAAAATCACGTGCAATTGAAATGGTATTCACACTAACCAGTACCACCAATGAACAACAAAAACCAACACATTTCGGGGTAAGCTTGAAAAAACATTATCTTCTAGCCTCGAGCAAAGCACAGCCTCAGAGACTCACTGGACACACTAAATAGCGCGTGGAGGGTCTACAGACTGGCCACCATAACCGGCCGCCGTGGGACGGCACTACAGGTGGCCTAACAGATCGGCGCAAGAACCAATTGACGGACAGCCATGAAGAAAGTCCCTTTTGAATCGAACAAACATTATTGTCCATTACACAATCAGAGCAAAACACAGTTTGCCCCATCTTACTCCGGCCCTCCGGATCTTCTTCCTCTTTCTTTTTTCTTCTTCTTTGTTATCTCCTGAAATGAAGAGCACAAAATCCAGAGAACTACAACATATACTAGATATACGTCATTGTGATGCTAAGTCAACCTAGTCCAAGTCACGCGCGGGAAGTTGCAAATTCAAGGGCTTGGTTTGGGGTTCACGCCGCGTTTTTCGAAACGTGTTCCTGAGAAACAAGTCGTTACGTCCACAAGGTTTTTATCTGCTATCGCCGGGGACGCAAACAACTTAGGCATGCTTTTAGCTCACCAATTAGTTTAACTTCACCAGCCCATTTGTTAATTGTTACCGGTACATCCAGTTTTCTCTGGCTTCTTCGTTCCACAACAACCATGGTTCAAAGTTAGCTGCTCAATACAATTTTAATATAAAGCGTTATATATGGCTTAAACTTCCTTTTAATTCGGCTTTTAAATATAAACATACACTTCACCAGACGGAGACGATGAGATGAAAATGCATTACAGCAATCAATTCTCCTTCAATCTAAAGGTCTTAAGTTAAACCTTTGTCTATAGGAAACGTTTCGCTTTTAAAACGCTCAGCTACAGTAGTACAGCGTTTTGTCCCTTCTTGTTGAACGTACTCACGCAAATATGGATTAACTTGATGTCTGCTTTGCAACCACCGGAGATCTGAAACATAATTGAAAAACTTCTGCATTATTTTTCACAAATAAATTTGCATCCTTTCTATATGTTAACCTAAAGTGCTTGTTCATAATGATCTTATCTAGTAACTAAATTAATTGCATCGCCTAATGTCTGAAATTAATTAATCTTATAATTTCAGCAGGCTGTTATAAGAATCAAAGCAGTGTGTAGCAGCTACATTGCCCTTCCTCATTATCACTTCTCTTCTTGACCCTCTGCTGCCTGCTTCCCTGGTCTGGGATCATCGGCCTTGCCCTGCTGGAAAGATATTATAATTGCCTGTACAGTCACTAATTAATAGAACTTCTTAATCAAATGCATTATCTCATCCATATGTTATAATGCCTTGTACTACTTATATAATTCATAGCGCCAAATGTTTTCGGGTTCGGCGTTTTCGGAATAGCCTCAGATGGATCATCGTGCCGTACTTGATTTACAAGAAGAAAAAAGACCACGAATCTTTGCCTCGAAACAAAGGTCACCAAGAAGCTAGCAAAGTGGCAGCCTTGTCCAAATGTTGCACAAAGATCTTGATAGACAATTCTAAAACCAGCACAGAGGAAAGACAGCCTGAACGCATCAGCTACGCCAACAATGGCAGCAAAGCCGCCGAAGCTGAATCAAGTGAACTCAGATAATGGTGTGGGACCGCTTAATTCAACTACATTGAGCTAAGACATGAGTTACATTTTGCATTCACCATGCTTGATTGTCTAAAGGCGGGTTGTCTGTCCAATTCAACTACACATTTATGTAGCATTCTTTTATAAAATACTTAAATGATCTGTCATCGGGTCTCCCATTACATTATTGATAATTTCATTCTCGAACATAAAATTAATCTATCAGTACAACAAACACCAGTTTCCGTTTGCCGAAACTCAAAATCAAATTTAATTAAACTGAAATTCAAGTTTCTGTTTTAACGGCCGAGGACAAACTTTTAAAAAGGCGTCTTCGCTCATTTTGAACAAAAAATTAAGGTGAAAAAATGCATAATTAATTCAAGAAATCTATGACTTGCCTGCAATTTGCCAACCGCGCCAAAAGTGAATCCTCTGCCAAGGCTTGATTTGCAAATTTAGAATATGTCTTGAGCCAAGTCGACGATCATTTTACATCTGACTTCATTACTTGCTATATGATGTCAAAATATCATTAACCTGGCAATCTTTGTCCTTTTTATTTTGTAAAATATTTTTCTCATCGTGTAATACTTCCAAACTATGTCCTACCACTTAATGACAATTCATTAATCTCCACATCATAAAAGCCGCTTTCCCAATACTATCGACGTCTTCCTGCTACTCGCTCTTTTTCCCTTGAATCCCAAATCCTTTCTTTTTCAAGGTTAAAACAAACCCAAAAACAAAAATCGCAAAAAGACCATAGAACAGAAGAAAAATTCACATTTTCTTGTTATCTCTCTAAACTCCAAAACAAGAACGTAACTTAATCCCTTACAAAATGGTACAACAGTAAGAAAATTAAATTCATCTGTACGTATGGTTACAAACGTATATTATATAGCATATACAACCTAAAAATACATTCAAATTTTCTCGCATACTCTTTTTTTTTTTTTTTAAGAAGAAACTACAATCTTCACTATTTCGAAAATTACAATATTTCACTTTATAAATAACTCTTTGAATCCCTGATACTTGCGAGTAATGGTTGAGAACAAACTCCTCTGCTTTTCATAACGCCCAGAATTTTACAACAAACTTTTTGCTTCCTTTCGTTATAACAATCACGTACAATCGTAACATACGAAACATCCTATACCTCTGCAATTGTTTATAGCACGTGCTCCTTCTTCTTCCCAGTCTTAATACGACAGCGCTTCCGCCTCTTACAGCGCAATTTCTACTCTCTCTTCCAAACTGAACTAACGTGGAGTACGATCTTTTTGCTCGAAAGGAAATCAGTTTCTTTACATTTCAGGCAACATGACATTCTTCGTCCCGGTCATTGACGACAGCGTCGCCGATACCGGGGCACGAAATTTGTCTCTACGATCGTAGTCTGTGGCTGGCACTAGCGTCGACTCCTCAGTGAATCAAATAAATTAAATCATTAGTGGGCCCTGGAGCAGTTGGTTCCACCGTTCCTCGTCTCTTCTTCGTCTCTTTGTTCTAGTTACCCGGGCCCGAAATTTAGGGTTCCCCACAAATCGCGACCCCCGTTTCTTTATTTCGATCGATCAACTTGCCGAAAAAACAATTAAGATACACTTCTTAGCGACTCAATGCAAAGAATAGGAGCTTAGGAAAGGATGAGGAAAACAAGCACGAAGATCACAACAGCTCCAGCATCTACTTTCCAGCATGCACAAGAAACGAAGAAGAAACATCGGATGAGATTTAGGCAGGGCCTGCCTCTTCCCTTGAAGGCACTTCGCCTACATGCCAAAATCCACCACATGAAACAACGTACAGAATTCCCGGCTCAGATAACGTATCTAAAATTCTTCTCCTCTTTCTATTTTTCGTTTTCATTTTTTTTTTCTGCTCTAAATGGTAATAAAGCGGATTCTTACAAAACAATCAGTGGTACACTTTCAGTAAGGAGAAATGGAATGTTGGATTGCCAGCTCAAATTTTAGTTTGCCTGGAAAGGATGCTTTCAATTTGGCGTGCGCCACAGTTCAAGCCTTGCCTTCTTGCCTGAGTCTTTAAATTTGAATGGGTGCTCGACTTTTTTTTTCTATTTTTCGATTTTATACGTTTGCTGCGGATTATCTTCAGTTACTATCTTCAAATTCCGTTGACGTCCTGAAATCGATGACTTGCGTATTGACCCTCTCTTGGGTTTAGTTGCAACACGTCTTCAAATAACAGTTCGTTCTGCAATCGGGAATCATACGTTCGGCAATGTTCTTCTTCGGTCTTAAGGCGGGCAAAAAACTTTAAAAATTGCAGATTTTCTTGAACCGTGACTCGTGGCAAAATCTGTTCTGTATAATGTATCATCTTGCCTGCTTAAGACATTTTGTTGAATTTCATACTTGCTTTCATGGCCAAGGAAGAAAGGGTGCAATCTGGTACTAAAAAAAAATTAAATAAATGATTTTTGCACGGACTGTAATTTTCCCAGCGTATTGTCAACAATGTAGCCTTACATAAGCTCTACTTAGACAGCTCATTTTGAAGAGTCGTCTGATTTCAGATGTTATGGAAGCTATATCATGAAAATGACTCATGACCAAATAAAATCGGCCAGCAAAGTACTCATAGCACCAATTTTTTTAGCGTGCCCGGACAAACGGTCTTAGGCCTCTTAGTGCATTCTGGCCAACCACCATATGCGACCTGGTGGGAATATTGTAAATTTAACCAGATTTCCTCGCTCTTTCTTAATCAATCAAAGGAAGAATAAGTACTGTCTCTAATGTCTTACTTCTTTGTTTAAAGCCTTTTTTTGTTCAACAAGAACTGGCGCTTACGCGTGACAGGGGCAATTCTTGTTTCTGTATCAATTAATTTTTATATGGGTGGTGTTCGCACCCTTTTTTTTACTCGCAAAATATCCTCTGTTTCCCTACCCAGAAACAGCACAAGAGGAGTTCCTATTCAAGAACTGCAAAGTTAACGCTGAGCCAAGCTTTAAGACCAAAGCTAAAGGCCAACAACAAAATCAGCAGACTTGAAACCATCCTCAGTTGTCCTGAGCAACACCTAGCAGGTACTGGGAACATTACATTTGTCCACATTATATCCAACTATTGTTCTCCTGTTTTCCATAGCACATTTAGCAACATCAATAAATCCTATCTGTAAGACATTGTTGATCTCAGGGAAATTGTTATCCGCTTGAATTGGATTTGCTCAATAAATCCTATACTTACTAATTCATTTGGATTTTATGACTAAAGCATTACTGGCGTTCTTCGGGCTGGTTTCCAAATTTGAAATGATTGTCTTATAACAACTATCCATAGTTTTAATTAGTTCTGATCTTTGCTCAAATAGTGGAGAGGTAAATATTTTCTCGCGCTTATCAGACATCTACAGCTATAAAATTCTTTAAAAATTAAGTTATTGTCCTCTCCAAATTGCGCTCCGAGGCAGTCAAGGTTTACATGCATTCGCCCAAGACCTTTCGACACCTAGCTCACTACACCTCGCCTTCCAAGGTTACATACGCATAATAATGAAACTGGAGAAAGTCAGTGCAAATCCATCAAAAAGAATAATAACAAGACAGAAAAAGGTTCACTCACAGCTTTTGAAAACAAATTATATATCTTGAGAAGCAGCAGCGAAGAGAACAGAGAAGAAGGGCCAAGAAAACTAGAGGCGAGCATTTGATTAAACGCACAAGAATCGCAAGAAAGGGAAAAGCGGCCGAAAGCACGTAGAAACAGCTGAAGACGAGGACAAGACTGATTCAAGAAGACCGGCCACTGGTCAAACCAGTCATCTTGAGGCTATAGAATTGAGCAATCTCCTTCGCAAACACATTGCAGCGGTCTCGAAATTACAATTGTTGCTTAAGGCCTCTTCTGAACCGCGCACTGCCGCCTTGTTCAATTTGTGCCTTGGCCCCTATTACTGATGGCTAGTGCTAGCGTAACAAAAGCAATCTGAATTGTTGAGTTTTGAAGCTGCATTGTGGCTGCTATTTGCTCCGAAACATGATCTATACACAAGCTGGAGTCTGCTTGTTGCGAACAACTTTTGAGAGCTGATGAACAAAAACAATTTGATGTGATGCCTAAAAGATACCTGATCTCTTCCAGTTTATCATGAACATTGCGGATCAGTTATCCTCAAATAAGCATCCACATAATTGTGTGAATTTCACTTGTTACGAAAATTGGCTTGCCTTACAAAGCAGATAGAAATGCTCATCCACTAGAGGCCTATTGAGATGGACAATTAAAGCGAGGAAATGGGGAAAAAATACCTCATCAACACACATTGCTTCTTATCTGTTCGATTAAACTCTTTCGTAGGCAAAATCACCTGAGATCTGGTAATGGATATACACTAACAGTACAAATGAAAAACAAAAACAACATTTGCGGTAAGCTTTGAAACCATTACGTTTAGCTGAGAAACGACAGCCTCAGAGGAAAACGACTCACGGAACACCCGTACAATAGGTGTTGGAGGGCTTACAGCATGGCCACATGCGCGCGGTCGCTACAGCATGGCCACCATAAAACGGCCCCGCTAGGAGAGTCCATTACACGGGTGGCTACACGATGTCGGAGAACAATCGACGACTTTGCCCATGAGAAGGTCCCTTCAAATCGCAAAGCCATTATCCTGTCAATTCTACACCCACCAATTCAGAGCAAAAAAACAAAGTTTCCCCATCTTTTATCCGCCCTCCGCATCCTCTCTCTCCTTCTTTCTCTTCTTTCTCCTCTGTTCTCCTGAAATGAAAGAGCACAAAAACAAAGCACTACAAACTATATATTACAGATTATACTTAAGCTTGAAGCTACAGTCAACTCAGTTCAAAGTCATGCGCGGGGAAAGGCTGTAAATTAAGTTTGGTTTGGCGTTCACGCCTTATTCTAACAGGACCCCTCAACGTATTCCTGACAGAAAAGTCTTAGTTCAAGCGTTTCGATCTGTGTGCCTAAGGAGACACAATAGGATGCCTTAGCTACCAATTATTAACCTTCCACCCAGCCCATTCGCTAAATTATTAGGTAACATTCAGTCCTTTCCCTGGCTTTTCGTTACACAACCACTCGTGAAACGTTATCAGTGTCAAGTAAATTTTAATATAAAGGTTATATATGGGCCTACACTTCTTTCAATTGCTTAAATAATAACAATTAATTCACAAACGGAGGACCGATCTGACGATTGGAAATGATTACACACAACTCAAATTCTCCTTAATTACACAAGTCCCTTTTAAATTTGTAAACCTCTTTATTACAGGAGCCTTTCTCTTATCGTAAACGCTAAGTAGCTAGTAACGCGTTTTGCCCCCTTTTTGCTAAACATACCCACGCAAAATTCTGGAATTAATTGATGCTTTGCTTTGAACACCGTGAGATCTGAAACATCTAATTGGGCTACAGATGGCCACATAACGGCGCCGTGGAGGCATACAGGTGGCTAAGATGGCGAGAACAATGACGACTGCCATGAGAAGTCCCTTTAAATCGAAAGCATTATCGTCATTACACAATTCAGAGCAAACAAGTTTCCCCATCTTATCCGCCCTCCGATCTTCTTCCTCTTCTTTTTCTTCTTCTTTGTTATCTCCTGAAATGAAGAGCAAAAAATCAAGACTACAATATATATTAGATTATACTTAAGTTGAAGCTAAGTCAACTAGTCAAGTCAGCGCGGAAAGTGTAAATTAAGTTTGGTTTGGGTTCACGCGTTATTCGAACAGACCCTCAACGTTTCCTGAGAAAAGTCTAGTCAAGGTTTCATCTGTGTGCAAGGAGAACAATAGGATGCTTAGCTACCAATTAGTTAACTTCACCAGCCCATTGTAATTATTAGGTACATCAGTTTTCTGGCTTTTCGTTCACAACCATGTGAAAGTTATAGTGTCAATAAATTTTAATATAAAGGTATATATGGCCTAACTTCTTTAATTGGTTAAATAATAAATAATTCACAAACGGAGACGATGAGATGAAATGATAAAAATCAATTCTCCTTTAATTAAAAGTCTTAAGTTTAAACTCTTATTATAGAGTTTCTTTAAACGCTAAGTAGTAAGCGTTTTGCCCTTTTTGTAAACATACCCGACGCAAATCTGGATTAATTGATGTTGCTTTGAACACCGGAGATTGAAACATAATTTGAAATTTGATTATTTTTCACAATTAAATTTGATCCTTTTATATGTTTAACTAAAGTTTGCTTGTTAAAATAAAAGTAATTAATATATTATTATTATTATTATAAAATTTAATTAAATATAAATTAAAGCTTCTGCAATATCTATTAATATGTAATATTTAGATTAAATATTGCTATTATTATTAAATTAAGAATATATCAAAATTTATAATTCTAATTAATTGAATAGTTGTGTGAACAATTTCAAACTCACTCAAATATTAAACAGATGGAACTTAATATTGAACTTGAACTAGACGCTGTCAAAATCAATCTGAAACTCTTTAATACTCAAAACAATTGAGCTGATTTACAGTCGATGATCATGAACGTTTTAATTAAAACGGATATCCATGGACCAATACGATCCAACAAAGACCGAGAAGACTATACAACAACATCAGCGTATTGCTATGCTAACCAGCAGTAGTAAGTTGGACGACTAGAATACATAATACAAGACAAGTAACTAAGCGATGCGTCGCATGATCAAAGTTGGAGCAGGTGATCGCGGGACTGGGCGGCAGATGACCATGAGAACCAAAGCAATCACGAGCGCCATGAGAAGTCCTGTAAGATCCACACCATCGCCGCCTTCGCTTATCTCTTGGCAAACGATTTTCCCCATTGAAGTTTGCCTCTTGCTTTGCCCTCTCTGTAGTCGGAATGGAACAGAATGAATAGGTTGAAGGAAAAAAGGAACCATTAAGATGGTTTTATTTATTTATTTACTCTAATTAATATGGTTAGAGTCAAGCCGACATTTGAAAATTGATAAAAAACAGAAGCTTCGCTTTCATTACATCGCGACGACTATTCGTATGGTATGACTCGTAGACAATGACCATTCATCTAACGTATTTTTACGTCTCAAGTCTAAATCACCCCCTGTTGTTAATTTAATTCCTGCCCTGAGTTTCAGCAGTTGGAATAGTTGAGGGCGGCGACCGTTTCGGAAGAAACGACAATGGAAGGAATTTTTATTTTGATATCAATATGATCGGTGGCAACGGTAAAGTACTGTGTTAAGTTAAGTTGATAATTACGCAACGTCTGACTCTCAATTGTATGTGGGCCGAAATGGGCTTAGGCTGGACTACACAGAGGGATTCAACTAAACCTTTGAGTTGGGCCTGAAGAGGAAATAAATCAAACCCAACTCACCCATTTCAGAAATTAGTTGGTGGAGCCAAGTTGAGCAACAAATTTACCATAAAACACAAGGTTTAGGGAGGGAAAGCTGAATTGAAATAATTAGGGAGATAAAGTTGAAGGTAACAAAATCATTTGACACCATAATAATAATTCATGTAGCCCAGAACCCACCATCTCACAATCATTGATTTGATTCCCTTAATGAAAGGGTATGGTATGGCTCTGTTTTTCAAGTCTTCATCACCCAATAGATGTGGGCCAGACCAAATTTTTACTACTGTTTTTTACTGGACCATTACCCATTATTAGTATCTATTACTTACTGTTGTGATGTTGCAATGGAATAGTATTAGTATAGTCACTAGAGTTACCAGTTAGTAATACTTAATAGTAGTACCATTTCCAGTTACTGTGAGTCATAATGAGGTGTAAAACAGTAAAAAAAAGGAGATGAAATCAGCAATAAGAATCATAGTAACAGAGAATATGCATTGTGATGTATAATAAATACATCAAACGTGTGGCCATCATAAACCAATAAAAATGTTGGGTAACTTTAATAAATTGCCCCACTCACACATGCACATGTACACACACACACACACACACACACACAGGTCCTTTTCTTTTCTTTTATTTCACCTAACTTATTTAATTTTTTTAGGAGGGTCAGTATTATTGTATTTGAAGGCAGTAAGTGATGTGTTGTTATCTATATGTCAAGATATGAATTTGGTCTATTAATGCAAATTTAATGAATTGTATTATTATGTGTCTGATTTTATTTTATTTTATTTTTGGTATTTATAAAAGAGGAAAAGAAAAGTAGTAGTGTATTGTGCATCGGAGATCAGGTAGGAAAGAGAGAAGCAAAAAGTTGTGGACAAGAACCAATGTCATGGAATCTATCACGTGGCACAACAGTCGAGGCTAATAAATTCGAATAACAAAGCGAAAGTTACCATACCTGCTAGTAGTTATAGTCATAGTAGTAAAATCTAAAACCTTATTCTCTTCAACGCGTACCGCTAATCTTGGTGAAGAAAGGTCAATTCCTTGGTTCCCCCCTTCCCAACTGCCAAGTCTATCTCATCTGACCTTGGTTTTGTATATCGACATTTAACCAAGTTTCTTAAATCTTAACATTCAAGAATTGGGTTTTTCAATTTGTAATTCTCAGATTAAGGGAAACCCAGGAAGAAAATGCGACCATCTGGCAGAGAAAAGCAGCCACTTGTAGCAGGAGTGGAGTGGAGTAGCTGACAAGGGGGGGAGAAAGGAGTAAAAAGAAACATGGTGGAGGTGGTGAATTAACTCAACTGGATTGCTTGCATAATTAAAACCATGTCCTGAAAAATAAACCTACAAAACTCAGAACTTTCACCTGACGGCACGGAAATATTGATTTAGAAGCAAAAGCATCCTTTTGAAACTTTAATAAAAAGAAAAGCTTTTCTCTTTGCCTTTGGATTCATTATTAGAAACCTGGAATCAGGCATATGCCTCATCAGTGAAATAATTATGACTGCGACATCAGCACAGATAATAAAGAGAGAGCTTCATGATTACATATAAAGTGAGAGCTCTCAATGTTGACATTTCACAGTTTTCAGTTGGTCTGCACATCTTTAAATGGATAGAAGAAATGTGAGAATCTAGCTATAATACTTGTTATCATTACTAGTAGCAGCAGAAGAAATTTGCAAGTAAAATATCACTCCTTATGCACATGAATCTGAGATTTTATTCCTCAAGTAAACCTAAAAATGACATAAAAGGAGTCCACAAATTAATTCCTATCCCAAAATCATAAATAAATTCATAAAAATTCCCCCAAGTCTGCAAATAGTATACATGGCAACTATCTCAAATTAAATAACAATTCCGATCAATACATACTACAACAATTGCAGTTTCCCCCTCTTTATTAACCAGTAATTGGTAACCAATGGCTCAGCCAAGTGTAAAAATGGATGGCAATTGACCTCTCAAGCCTCAGTATACCCTCCAGATCTTGTTCCCAGATCAATCGGTCTGCAATCATATCAAGCTACAGAAAATTAAATATGCAACAATTGAGTAGCATATGGAGCATGTACCCTGCTGCATCCATTCATCACAGGCAAGGGGCCAGATGCACAAGAGGTAAAGCCCGTCGCCTTTCAAGAAAGCCTCAATGCAGAATCTTCATCCATTGTCCAAACAAAACCAGGCATGTCGAATCTAGGCCCAGCGACAGTCCTATAGATGTAAAGCTTCTCAACTGGACAACTTTCTGGCCTTGAATCTGGAGGTCCCCTCTCATCAATAACTTCAACATTGAGCCTAGGCATCTTCTGACCTAGCAATTTACATGCTCCGTAACTCACCGAGCAAGAAGACATCCAAAGGGATCGCATTGTCTCCAGCTTTGCAGCATTGGCCAAAAGAGCCTTGTCCCCAAATGGACAATCTCGAATCTCTAGTTTGCGTAGGTTTTCACATCCAGACATCACATGATGGAGCCCCAAATCACTATCTCCGGCAAAGGCTACAGAGAGCATTTCTAACTTTTTGGCATAAGTTCCAATGTACTCAAAAACACGGTCAGTGAGGAGACCTGACAGGGAAAGGCGCTGGAGATCCTTGCAGTGTTGAACAATGGCTCCAAAACCATCATCTAGTGGCTGAAGGGTTGTGTAATCAGGGGTACGTGGTTCCATAATACAAAGCCGAAAGCGAGTCATGTTTGGACGATTCCTAGCAACTGTTATCAAGGCATCATTGGTCATTTGATGGCAAAAGTACAGAACAGATTGGAGTTTAGGGCAACCCTCAGAAACAGAGACAAGGCCCTGCTCTGTCAAGGATACATTTGGTTCCACAGCAAATGGCTCAGATGGGAAAACCCTCAATTCTCGCAGGTCCTTGCAAAATGTTGCAAGAGCTTCAAGTCCAATATCTTCGATGTAATCCAGCACCTGCATTCACGTACTTTATTAGATTAAGAACAAGAGCTAACATAAATTTGAAAGTAAAATCCAAAACAATATCCAAATTTGATAACTTGAAAATGTTTCTACATCCACTCCTGATGTGCTTCCAGCACACAATTATAAATGGTAAAAAATAAAATCTAACTTCTGACGATAACATTCAAATGGATTCATAAACTTCCCAAGAATTTTAATTTGTGCCATCAACTGGCATGAATAAAAGAAAAGAGGAACTCACAAATCGAATCCTAATGGAATCTAAAACTAGAGTTACAAAGATAAACTCACCCACAACCGCTGCAAACTCTGACATTGACTGACAAGTTTAATGACATCAGGGCTTTGGATAGTAGCATAGCTCAAGTTCAACGATGTTAGGCCAGAGCAAATAGGATAAATTGCTGGAAGGTAACCTGGAACCACATCCCAAAATCCAGATAAACTTTTCAATTCCTTGCACCCAGAAAAAGCTCCAGATAGGCTTGAGAAGACATCAGGCCGCAGCTCAGATGAGTAGGTTCCTGTGCCCAACTCAACTAGCTGGGGTGCCCTAGAAAGTATGTTTGCAAGCCTGTCAAGAGGCACGGTACGGTTGAGCCGAAGAGTCCTCAGATTGGGGCACCGACCCACCAGACGCTCCAAGGCCGAGAAACTCACCTCAGAAACTAAGCAGGAAATGTTAAGAGAGACCAGTGACGTAAAAGAGTCTGGAAAGTGGCTTAACCAATGCCCACTAGGATCGTCCACCTCACTCTCCCGCAAATCCAGCTCCCTTAGATTCCTACAGGCAAGTTGCTTAACTAATAAGAACAAGGTCCAAGACACTGGAATATTCTAAAATTCAAACACAAAAGTTGCCATAAATTTATCCCGCTAAATTTAGCCTGATAGTGAAAGAAAAAAAGTGAGCAAAACTGAAATTTGTGATAAAATTTGTGGTCCAGTGATTCAATCATCGAAAATGACCAGACTGCATTGTTAAAGCTACTTTCCTCTATGCATATGCTACTTCCCAGAAAAGAAGACAAACACCCTTCACTTGTAGGATCTATGAGCCAGACAAAATAACCACATTAAGGAAAAAATCTTCTCAATCAACAGATCCAGAATTCACGTATGAAAGCACATTAAAAATGCCGTTCTCTGCCAAATCCTTTAAAAGAAAAAAAGAAAACTTCACAATAAAATTACATTTAAATCTTCATTACTTTGTAAATAGACATCAAAAAAGGCAAAACATAAAAGATTCACAATTTCTTAGTATAGCAACATAAAGTAATGTAACGAGAATCTAGTCGAGGAATCCAAAAGGAACCTGCATTGCACAAGAAGCAGGCATCCAAAAATCTAGAAAAATTCTCACATCATGCTCAACCGCAAGAAACAAACTGGCATATGAAAAAGCAACTTGAATAGATTTTCCAAATTATTAGTGATTCAAAGAAATGCACATCCCAGATCTAGCAAAGATAAACAAAAAAAAGAGAAGATGACCAAAACAGAAACAGATTTTTCATTGCAGGGTTCCAATTTCAAAATCCAAGAAACTAAATCTGAGTATCGCATCAAAATCTTGTTCAAAAACAAAACATGAAAAAGTATCACAAACGCATCGATTGAAACTGCTCTTGAGTTTAAATTCCTCAGACAGAGTCTCGTGTGCGTCCCCGTCATTGCCCGACCCCGGCTTCTCGCGCACACACACGGACACGCACAAAGGTGCATTAAATGAGGGAGGAAAACAAGGCAAGTCTCTCAATTTCCAAACTGGAAACTGTCTGAAGAAGAAACAAAGGAGAGGAAAGATCTTTACACACATTCACCACCATCACACACAAATACAACGATGTATAGCAAATATAACGTTGCCAAATTAAAACAAATAGCAAAATCCCCGATATGCAAAAGTCTTTGCTTATATGCAGAGTTGTAGTAGAAAAATCCAAGGAATTGAAGTCCACTTGTAACCAAGTTTCATAATTTGATACCTAGACACAGAGCCACCTCCGCAGTAGAGATGCTATCTCAACCTTATTGAACTCGGGCCTAATTGCTCTTTATAACTCGCCACAACAAAAGGTGAGAAAGAAAATTTTCACCTTTCACTTCACATCAAAACTCGCTCTCCCCCAAACAAAACAAAAACTCTCACCCCCTTCCCTTCCCAAACCCACATTTCTTCACCGGCCGTAGATAACCCGGAAAAATGATTTTAAAATAACTGCAAAAAAAAAAAAGGAGAGCAAAGATCAAAACCTGCAATTGGCAGCAATGGCAGCAAGTCCATCAGTAGAGAAACCCTCACACGAAGAAAGCACCAAAACCTTAAAATTCTTAAAGGACTTAGCAATCAGCTCCAAGGTCTCGTCTGTAACCACCATCCTCTTCAACCTGATCTCTTCAAGCCAAGGGTAAGCAGAGGCCATAGCCGCGATCCACGGGTAAACATAACCACCCCAACCATCAGGCACCAGATTGAAGTCAGCAAAGTGAGGCTTTCCTTTAAGCTCTATCGATCTCACTTCCGGAAACCTCCGTATCACCATTGATGGACTCACAGCATAACAGTTGCCAACAAAAATCCTCCTCCTACACCACCTCTCTATCTCGTACCACGACTTGCACACCATGGATATCGCGTTTCTGTCCTTGTCGTGCTGTATGAAGGAGAACACGTGCTCCAGAACCTCCTCAGGGAACGAGCTCGTCATTCTCAACATTAATGCCAATTGTTATGAATCCGAAATGACGTCGTTTCTTCTGTTCTTCCGCGATTCAGCTACACGGATATTAGAGAGAGGAAGAGACAGAGAGAACTCCGATTGTTATTGTTGCTAGATCTGAAAGGCCATCAACTAAGGAGCTTATAGGTGCTGTAGAGAGAGAATGTGTGAAATAAGTGAGATAGAGAGAGAAAGTGAGACCGAGAGAGATAAAAGAGAGGATAAGGAGAGTTTTTTATGTTGTGTAACCGGTGCGGTTAGATTTTAACTAGGGTTAAACAGTAAGACTGCCTCCAGTGATTGCGAAACGTGGATTTAGGTAAACCTTGACCGTTGGATAGACGGTGGAGAAAGGGATCTTATCCGTTGGAGACGAAGCGGAGCCGCAGAAAACGGGTGTGTGTAATAGAGCGTGGAGCCACTGGCAGACGTGGAGAGAATTTCAATTTCTCGTATCGCTGAATTGATAGGCTTTTTTATTTTCTCTTTCATTTTGTCATAAGGGAGTTTAAAAAAGGGGGGGTGTAAGGCGATTATAAAGTGCGATGATGTGTACAGAGAAATGGTGGAGAGGGAATCTCATGATTCGCGTTGCACGGCTGGATCTGAGGAATCGGGATATCAGGGGGACCACAGTAAGAGAGAGGAGAAAAAGTTAAAATAATGAGGAATGATCTGATGTGAAATTTTTTTGCATATGATGACATCATGACCGTCCAATCATATTTGACTCTTTCACTCCGTAAGTCAGTCTCTCCCCCAATAGGTACAATGTAAATGCACTATTATTGACCCGAACTGATGAAACACACTTATTCGGTTCCAACGGCCCTGATTTATTCTCAACAGGGACTAAAAGTAAAAATAAATGTTACAGTAAATATTAATCAAAGTACAAACGAGTGCACGTTGCATCTTAATCAAGACCGTCAGATGAGAACGATTTTTGACAGTGTACGAACTGCTCGTAATAGCAAACTTCTTTTATTTTTATTATTTTTTCCTCTTCTTCCCCTGTTTTTTGGAGGGATAGTAATTAAATTTCCTTTTAATTGCTGTGAAAGGTAAAAAGAAGTGTCTATAATTACCTCAGGTGCACCGTACGTAGCAACACATAAAACTATTGATTCCCTGTTTTTGGGTGTAGTAAAATGACGAAAACAACCCTTATCTGTTGACACAGTATACTCCGGGTTCCATAAAAATGAAGGGCACTATTGTCAGTGCATGAAAAGGACATGGTATTATGGGTTGGCGCTGTCTCAGCATGGAGTCCATAGACCTGTCCTTGTTATGTCGAAAAGCTGATTTGTTTAAGAACTGAACGGCTGAGATTTGAAGTCAGAAAAAGGAAAGATCAGAGCCGTCGGTTGACAAGCGTCCCTGTCGATGGTAACCGTAAAGGTTTGTCTGTACTCGAGTATAGGAAATTAGATTAATTTTGATTTCAAGCTCAGAAATTTAGGTATTAACGAGTTTAATATTAATGGAATAAAGTAATAAGAAGGTGAGTTGTCGAGCACGTAAAGGTAATTATTAATTGGTTAGGAGTTAGAATTGGTGATTAAGATGTAATTAATTAATTAAGAGAATTGATAATTAAGCCCACGCACGGTTCTCCGGGAATCTCTCCTCCCCTCGAGTGGAATGGATTGGACTTTGCTGTATATATATATGCGGGGTGTTTCATACGCCCACCTGACCTGCAGCTTAATTTGTTTTTTTTTTTTTTTTTGGGAAATAATGATGATCATAGTAGTATTTATTTGCGTTGATTAATGCTGAATTAATTACCATTTAATAACATATCTTTATTTATACTAATGTATTACGTCCCTTTGCTTGGTTTTGTTATTTTTATATTTTTATAATAAGCAGCCCACACGTGAAATGTGCTGCTTCCAAGGATCAATAAGATGAACAAATTAAATAAATAAATTATATGCATTAATGCATAGGTAATTTTTTAATTTAATGATAATTTATTTTCCAAATAAAAAATAAGATGATTAAATGAATTATAATGTCTAATTTTTATTTAACTAGTATTGTTTCCTTTCAAAAATATAAATTTACTTTTCTTTGTCCTTTTTTCGTATATAATATGTCACTTTCGTTTCTAAAAAAGTTAATTGTTTAATTCTCTAATATATTCTTACTCTTTTATTCATAAATATAAATCGTTTTAGAGTTTTTTTTATCTAAAATTATTTTGAGAGTATTAAGTAGTAATTAATGAAAATTTTTCAATTTTATCTTTATATATTAATTATAAATGATGTGAGATAGATGGTAATTTTTTCAAATTAAAAAACGTTTTGTTATTAATCTAAGGGACTTGATTGTTTTATAATAACCGCAAAAAAAATATTAAACGGCTTATATTTGTAAACGGAGGGAATATTTAATGTGTCCTAATACCAACTACTTTCCCATTTCATTTTTTATTGAAAGTAATATTTAATATTAAAATAAAAATACATTAAAAAAATATGAAAATAGGTTATTAATTTTGTGTGAAGACAAAAAAAAAAAAAAAAAAAATAATAGGTGTTAATTGGTGACGCAACAGTATAAAAAAGGTAGATAGGTTTTAAGTTAAACAAATTGGAAAGGTAGGCTCCATTTATGATTAATTAGATTGGGTTGCAAAAATATTAAAAACTATTGTAGATAATTTATTAAATTGAAAGGCTAACAATTTGATTATAAAATTATTAAAATGCCCAATTTCTTTATAATTAGTATATATATAATATAATAATCATATATATATATATATATATATATTATTATATATATATTATATATATATATATATTATCAAGAGCGTTCTACCTTCTAATTTGATGTTACGATAACTTTTATATATATTTTTTAAACTATCCAATAAATACATAATCAATTTGATTTTTTGAATTAAATAAAATATTTAATAAATTTAATTTTATAAATTAAAATATTCAATAAATTAAATTAAAAAATGAAGACGAGGAAGATTTTTTATAAAAAGCACAAGATTAAAATAAATTTATGAGCCATAATAGAGTGAAATCAATGCATGGTTCATAGATTTGTATTTATATGCAAAACTTAAAAAAAAAAAAAAAAAAAAAAAAGAGTGGGAGGGGAAAACGTTAAGAAGCTGTTAAAGCGTTAACGCATGGAAGTGTCGTTTCACGCTTTCCATTGGTCACTTTTTAAGTTTTTTTTATTTACTTTTTAGGGGTCACATTTTAATTTCAACAAATACACGCTTTTTGAAGCTTCCGTGTTATACAATCTGCCAAACATGTAATAGCTGGAAATTGGAAAATGTATCAATCTACTTCTAATAAAAGCAAAGGAACTTTTTATTTCTTTTTTTTTTTCATTTATATTTTATCCGTTAAATTTAAATATATTTTACCACTTAAACCATAATTATTTTATCAAAATTTTTTAGTGTTAATCAAATTGAATTTTCAATAAAGAAATCACTAATTATGAAAATTAAATCTTATATTCAAACAAATCAAAAAAAAAAAAAAGTCGCTTGCAATAAAAAGTAAAATTCATTTTGAAAATAAAAATTAATTGGGGGGCCCCTAATTTAGAGACATGTGGAGCGGAATTATAAATTAATTATTACTATCTCCTTGTTGTAAACCATGAATCCAAAGACTTTCTTGTACATCAAATGATGTAAGTAAAGCTGCACGTGATGGAAAGCTATACCTACATTGGTATTAATAATACTAATTAATGACTTTCTTAATTGTTTGATTAATAACTAATCATAGTTTAAGGTTTAATTTGATGTTACTAAGGCAATTATGCTTACCTCCAAAACATACAACATCATTAATAGTACTGTATCTGATGTTGCCAAGGATTTGTATGTAACTATGTTATGTAATTATTTTAATTTGTATGTAAAATTAATTAACATTTATAGCTAATAATTACTGGGAAGCCAATAAGATAGCTACTTTTTTTTTATCAGCAAAAATTTCTTTTATCATTAAAATTCTGAAAAAATTTAACACAGCCAAGCATATAAATTTGGAATATCAAACCTCCCCAATATATCTGTACTAACTAAAAAATGCTACGCGAAAAAATCCGATAAGAGCTACTTAAAAAAGCAATTGGAGGATTTCAGGCCAACTTTTGTTGACTATAGCTTGAAAGGGAATAAGCAACAATGAGATTGAGAGGGACACTGGATTAGATGGCTCCCACTTCATAGAGAATCTTTACAATCTATAAATATTACAAGCATCATTATTTCTTTATATAATATATAAAAAAATACTTATTATTTTGCAAAAGAAAAAAAAAAAGTTAAAATGGTTTTGCAAAACTGGATATGATAATAATTATTATTAAAGTATGCAAATTAATCACCTAAAATTGAAAAAAGTTAATTTATAATTAGAGATTAATTTGCAAGTGGGAGTGAAGTTATATCCAACTACGAGGGTATTTTGGATGGCATATTGATATAGGTTCTGCCTTTTGAGTTAGTCTAAAGTTAGGTGAGAGCTGTTAGAAAGAAAGCGTGAGCCCAATCATTAGAAGATCCTGCTTTGACATACTAGGATCTCATTTTACAAAATTTCAAAATTTTTTTTCTATTAATTTGAATGTAATGCATATAATTAATTAATGTAATTTGAAAAGTTTTGAAATTGAATTGTAATTTTGAAAAAGACAGTGACAAATAATTAAAAATGGTATCAAAGGAATAACTTGTTGAAGTAAAGCAAAGTTATGCCCAAAAGTTAATTATTTTCGTTAGATTAAGTTTGTTCCTCTCTTTTACTTTTCCATATAAAAGCATTGCCCCTCCTCTTTTTGGAGACGTGTAAGAGTGAAATGTTAATATTTTTTAATCCAAAAGAGTTGCTAATTGGCATGCATGCATTTATAACCAGCTTATTCTTTCGATATTATTATTATATAACTTAAATAATTACATTAACTCTAATTAGTATTGTTAAAAAATAAATAAAAACCCTTTAATTAGTTGTTTCAACAAAGAATAATTTAAAAAATATATATATATTTTGGGCAAAATACAGAGCCCTAGATAAGTAGGAATGTTGAGCTATGAAAAAGCCGGTTTGGTTCGAATTAAGTAAGGTGGTGTATGAACCGGAATTAATTGGACCACTCGCACATGTGATGGGACGTTGGAGCATAGGATTACATGTTAGTTATGACTCTCTCCTAATAGAGACAGAATTGTAAGCCAGACCAAACCCACAAAAGTTAATGGGCGAGGAAGTGGACCCCAAAATTTTAAAAAATAATAATAATAATAATAATAAATGAAGAGCTACCGTTAGCTTTATGTCTCTGTTCTGTTAGGCAACATTTTGTTTTTCTTAAAAAAAAAACAAGAAGAAAGAAACTTACTACTAAATCCGAAATTATAAATTCATTTCTATTATTCATAGAATTATAATTATTTCGTATTTTCAATTTAATATAGTAATATTATTTAATTCTTCATATTTTTTTGGAGTGGAACAATAATTTTACTGAACAATAAGTATGAGTTAGTAATTTCAATTAACTAAATAAGTAAACAGAATTTGAAAAAAAAAAAAAAAAAGCTTTAAAACAGAAATTTGAAAAAAAAAAAAAAAAAGCTCCCGACAGCGATTCGTCACCGACCGTAAGGCTCTTTTGCCTTTTGATGTAATGATAACTTGCGTGTCCGCTTTTGATTTTGCTTATAAACCCTTCTTAATAATGATATTTAATTTACTCGAGAAAAAAAAAAAAAAAAAAGCTCCGACAGCGATCGTCACCGACCGTAAGCTCTTTTGCCCTTTTGATGTAATGATAACTTGCGTGTCCGCTTTTGATTTGCTTATAAATCCCTTCTTAATAATGATATAATACTCGAGTTGACAATTTGTTAATTTTTATTTTAGGTACATGTATTATCCTCATCAATGCAAACGTGTGAAATTACATTTACGTAACTAAAAAGAAATTGCTATTTCACCTAATCTTTCTCCAAGATGGAACTCCACGTGGCAATATGGGTATTAACATTCAGTCTAGTATTTTTCAGAATGGGTGGGCTCCTCCATACAATTGGATATTTGGATCAACAGAAGTTAGTAAGATTTTCATTAAAAAACACAAGTTAATTCACAAAAAAAATTTCATTATGAAATTCTAATATAACGAGGTATTTTAATTTTTTTTTCCTCGCAAATTTTTTATTAGGATTTAAAGAAAAAAACACAAGGACAATTATTGAAAGTCAAATTTGATGATAAATAAATAGATGTGACCTGCAAATAATTAAATCTGAATGAAAGACTTGTATGTATGTCTTATGTGCAACGTGACTTAGCAAAGAGATGGAGACTCAAGAAATAGAGGTCGGCTTCTTTCAGACTTTGCTTAAATCAATTCACAGTCACATGTAATAAGGAGAAGCCATTTGTCAGATTTGACATATTGTGTTTTATGTAGGGATAACCAACGGTGTCCATTGGTTATCAACATTCACTGATATCAATCATAAATCAAACTATTGTCGAAATGATGTTATTCATTAGATTTCAAGAATAAATTAATATTATATTATAAATTCACGAGATAATATAATATTAATATTAATAAGGAGAAGCGATCGATTTTTGTTGATAAATATTAAATTAAGGGGCAAATTGCTTTATTATTTTTTCATATAAACCCATGACTTAATTATCTGCAATTACTGATAAGTTTATCCATTAGGTTATGAAGGTGGCCTGAAAATTTAGTCATGGGAAAAATGAAAATGGGTTTGTTCAAACAACAACACATGCATATATTTAAATTTTTGTTCCTATTTGGGCACGTGAAGAACAAGTTAGAATAATTAAATATTGATAAAAGGTATAGACAAATCCAATTTGCATAATCCAACCAAACTCATGCCTTTGCCAATTAGGTTTAGGTCTAAATCAAGAATCAATCAATAAACTGGGTTGGTTCATTGATAGCTTTTTGCCCCCAACAAATTAGGGATCAAGAAATAATCATGTTCTACGGTATATACATGTATTTTCTAAAAGCTTCTTTCAAAATAAATTGATCCACTGTATGATAAATTTAGATTTAGCATGCTTCGTTGTTTTTTTTTTTTTTCTGTTCATTTGATTAAAACTCAGAAGTCAACATTTGCTAGAAAATAAAGAATATTAATCAATTTTCTAAAATTCTGGATAGGAAGGAATAATAAATTTTTGGAAGAAGACTGCTAACGTCAAGATCTGAATTGACATTGTTAACACTGTGAGACATGTAGTTGAACATGGAGTCATTTAATAAAGTGGCTATTCACCTCCAATCTGCTAGCACCAAGATTGGTTAGGCTTGAACAGACACATATAGTTTGAGAAAATGAAGGAAGAAGAAACAAGAGTACAACCAGTAATAAATGAAATATCAAGAATTGGGTTTGAAATTTGGGTTTCTGTTTTTGAGGAAATGGTAATAAATAAGTGTAACATCCAAATGGGGGGACCACTAGTTGGTGATCTCTCACACCAAAAGAATTGAGATATCAAATCCATGAGTAGCATTTGAACAGTTTTTGTCATGGGCCTTTCTTTGGTTCATTAAATAATCCAGATTGTCAAAAGCCTGATCCAATGGCTGTAATAATTTCATTGATTAACCTGTTTTTGGACATTGATCTAATGGAATGGACCACCAAACCAACGACAAATAATATGTCCAAACGTTTTGCTGTTTGGGGACCATTTCTTTTCTTTTCTTTTTCTTTTTGACGAGAGGCTGACATTGATGTCCGAGTTGAAAGGCCCATTTCTGTGCATTTTACATTTTCTGATGATGTCAATGGGCTGCCATTTTCTTTTCTTTCTTGCCAACTTGAAACTTTTATGCACTATCGCATGAAATCACAAGGCTGAATGTATAAAATTATTATATTCAGTCAAAATAAAATTTAAGGACGATGATATTTCTAAAAATATTTTGTCATTTTAGAAACAAGTTAAAAGAAATGACAGAAAATTTTCCTTTCCTTTACAAACCATAGAGGAAAACTTTCCTTATTGTTGGCAGATGAAAAGGTTTCCTCTCACTTTTGGGAAAAAAAAAAAAAAAAATTTCTCCTGAAGAACAGATTACAATCCAGCCTAAATAAAAAGAAAAACAAGCAGAACACACTCACCTTTGCTCCTTTTAGGGACAACATGGACGGCCCAATTCTTCTCTAGTTAACCGTAATGCATTGTAGAAAGGCTATGGCCTGAATATGTATTGTTTATTGGGCCAAAGCCCAATAAATTACACAAATTTAAATAAACTAGGTTTATTTATTTATTATTTATTGGATACAAAGGAGAGGAAGACCCCAAAGAAATCAAACCAACTCTTAACTTAACGTGGCCAAGCTAACACCTTGCATATCGTACACGTTGTTCGCACTCGTGATTTAATATTTTTGATAAAAAAATTTAAATTTAAATATAAAAATTCCTAATTGATTTTTAACAATATTTATCTTTTTTTATTAAAATTTTGACATTTTTGAAATATAATTTTTTATTTTAATACTAGATATAAATATTAGTCATCATTATATTTAGTTCAAGTGTTAGTCATTTAGTTTTATAATTTAATTGTAATATTAAAATTATAATTAAATAATAGTATGTAAATTATAAAATATTATTTTTTAAGATTTATAATTGAGCTGGTAAGTTTTTAAGCACAGTATTCTCCTCTCCATCTCTTGGCAAAAGAAATGTAGAATAGAGGGTAAGGCATAAAAAATGTGATTGTGTTAGTTTTGTTTGACGGTAGTTGAGAGAAGAATAGTAGCTACAGTCTTGTAGGTTTTGAATGATAGGTCAGATTGGAACCTTTGAAAGAAATGTTGGTTGCTTCTTTTTTTTTTTTTCTTTTTCTTATTATATAAATGCTAAGGAACTGTCACGTTTCCTCTGTCTCAATAACACTAGTTTCTCAAGTCCACCAAAAAGAAAAGGAAATTTTTTTGGGGTGATTGTCTTCTCGTTGGATCTTATTTTCCAAATTTTGCATTTCCAAGCTCAAGAAGAACTCCTTGTGTTAGAGTGTGGCTGAGATAATTCAATACAGTAGAGTAACAAGGTAAGAAGGTACCAATGTTTGGCGGACCAGGAGGTCCTGGAGGCCCTGGACCAGGAGGTCCTGGAGGACCTGGACCAGGCGGTCCGGGAGGCCCAGGCTGGGGACCTGGTCCTGGCGGTCCTGGCGGTCCTGGCTGGGGGGGTCCGGGTCCTGGAGGGCCATGGGGTCCGGGTCCTGGATTTGGAGGACCTTGGGGTGGTGGTTTTTTCGGAGGGTTTGCTGATGGTTTATGCAGTATGGTATCTTCTTTGTAAGTAGCCTCTCTTATTTTATTTTTTCTACATATAATTTGTTCCTTTTCTACATCAGCAAGGCTTTCTTTAAAGTTTAAAAATTCATGTATAAATAATAAAATATGATTTAGTTAATATTGAATTGAACTTTTCATAAAATTAAATTAAAAGCAGCAAATGTCAAATTTGTTTTATGATTTCAGAAAGAAAGAGACAATAAACTGGGATTTCTAATTGTAATTGCAGACTGTCTTGCTTGTGCTGCTGCTGGTTGCTACAAGATTGCTTTGGTGGGCCTCGTGGTCCATATGGTCCTCCTCCTGGTGGACCCCCTCGATTCTGATCACCTGCTTCATTCTATCTATACAGTGATGGAATAACGTTTGCGCATTTTATAAACTCACAGCAGAAAAGAGAAAAGACATACACCTATTTGATTTCTTTTCTTCTATTTGTTCATCAGTATTGTATTGTCAGAGGTTTGAAGGCTCTTCTCTTCACCCTTTAATTTGTAATTTCTGATTGTATAATTTGTATTTGGATGAAAAAGAAAAATGGAAGTAATATTACTTACCATAGCCGTGCATGATTACACTTAAAAAGTCTGCTCAGGTTGGTTTTATTTATTAACATAGCTTAGCTTCATTGGAAGATCAGATATCTCGATTCTCAGCTCATTCCTTCAATCCTTAAAATGAAAATTTAAACTCATAATCTTATAGTGATGATAATATAATTATACTCCAATATCATTTTGATTCAAAGCTTCTATAATTATTCTCTCTTACGCATGGAATTCACCGTCACAAAGAACTTGAGGATCTATTGAGGTCCAAAAGAACGAAAATTTACTTAAGATTCAATGATATTCGATTTGACTTTCTTTTCTAGGAGCAATGAATATGTGAACTGCAAAGAAATTACCCCACAAGTCATAAAAAGAACACGCCTTTTCCTGGTCCAACAAACAGCACCAACCCCAGCATAGACCAAGAGGAAAAGCGAAATGGTTAACCTTTCTCAAAGCCATGAATCTGTGCAGTTATGCAGTGACATTCTACCAAGAACACCAACACAAATGTGTATGACCAACTGGCTAAGGGAAACATTTTCAAAGCTACACAATACACAGAAATACAACATCCAAAGATACAACAGCCCTGGATTAGGAAAATTACAAGCAAACTCATGCAACAACTCCCAGTTAAGGTGTCGAGCAGCTAACATTCAACAAAACCAAGAGATGATGTTTTGTCAGCCATGGCATTACCTACAGAGTGGAGCACATTTGGCTCATAATACGAAGGGCTAATATGTACAGAAGAAAAAATATGAAAAAAAAAAGAAGTGAAAGTCCTAATACTTCAAGCGTGATTAGAAGTAAGGAGATTGAACTACCCAGAAGCTTTACTGCAGAATGCCCCTTGCCATAGAGCTAGAAACCTACAACTGCTTCCACAACCAACTTTTCCTGCACCATGTGAACACCTGTTAGGAAAAATTCACGAACTTCAATCATTTCATACAGATAAGAAAACAATGCCCAAAGCCATATCATCAATATTGATCTGAAATTCAATACAATGTGAAGAGACGCCACAGAATTCATTTCATTCGAAAGAAAAAAAATTACAGCAGTTAACCATGAGGTTGAGAGTTAATCGATTGACATGCGATTATTGGATGAAGAGTTTATCAAACAATCACAGCCACAAACATGTGCATAAAAGACAATAAAAGTGCAGAAGTAAATAAAAGAAATTTTGAGCAGGTTCAGAAGAGCATCATCAATATTATCAGAAAGGTCTCTTAATATGAAAACAGAAATGGTGAGTTCAAGTAAGCCACTGGATTCACACCTGCTCGTCTGTCATTCACAGGCAATCTTAGTGTCAAAGCTGCTAAGGCATATCGCAAATGCCTGGAAAGCTGAGATAGGATACTGATAATCCATTGTGAAAACATCTTTGCCCACTTTTCCAAACTGGAGAATAACGTTCTCATGCTCCTGCCTGCCAACTCCATTCTCTGGAGAAGCAACCAGCTGAAAGTTCTTAACTGAAGCAACTGTCACCCGTCCATTGAAGTTCAGACACCAGCACTGGAGCTGTTCGTGCCACCTAGGTGCCTTGTTCCTTAAAACAAGCATTCCATCTTTATAGCCAGTCAAAGGACCAGATTGGAAATTCTCTGTGCAGGTGGATTTTGATCTGAAAAAAGGAAGTGATGGAAAGGAATCCAAATTGCTATGTAGAAATTCGGTCTGGGTGGGGGCCACTCCTCCAGGCTCAACTGAAGAGGCAGGGATGGCATCCATAACGCATTGCATTCTCCTTGGACCTCTGAATTCCAAAATATCACACAAATTGGAACTCAGAAAATTATAACATGATAACCAACAAGATAAATACCCATCCTCCATAGAGCGAGAGGAGATAACTATACTTGCCACAATTGCTTTAGTATTTACTTTCCTGTTGCATAAGATTTTTTTTTTTCCCTAGAAAACAAGAAGAAATTTTGAGAAACACCTCATTTTACCTTGAACCCAAGACATTCAACTCGTATGAGACATGGGCCACAGGATAGTTCCCAGCAGGGACCCTAGGAGAAACCTGTTTCATGTTAACTATCCTGGTGGAGCGACTTTTAGAAACTTTGGCTCCAGAATTTGGAGGGTGTGCATCATAGATTGTGAACTTGGTTCCCAGAAAATTGGATCTGTTGTGAGGGAAATAAATTCATAAATTTCAACTTAAAGACGAGAAAACAGTCACCACCATCTAATGGGTGAAAATACCTCAACTTTCCAATGTAGGTGCTGCTCCCTTTAGACACATCATCACAGTTTAAAGAGATAATGTAATCTGTGCAAGTAGGCCTCCTGCACCTCCGTGCAGCAAGAAGAAACTTACCATCATCGTTTGAAGCTGACAATACACAGTATATAAGTAAAACATTTCAATGCTAGGAGCTTAAAGTGAATCCTCAAACCAAAAGAGGACACTACACTCCAAACTTGTTAATAGGGAAAATAACCATCCGAAAAATTGCATTCAATTGAATGCAGCCACGCTCATCTCCAGGAATAGAAAGCAAAAACATTCAAATGAACTCATACAAAGTGAGAAAAAGGGATACAGGTATTCACCTTGGTTTAAGCTGAGGTACAGATAATATGTTTGGTTGCTACGATTTCGTTTGATGTAGCACTGAAGAAGGGAATCCCTGGGACCTGGCTGCAAAACAAAACAACGCAAGGACTTCTTCATTAGCTGTAAGAGGAAAGGACAAGTGCCACTGAAGTTAAAATTTTTCATTTACAGGTTTACAATAAAAGATTGACACCCTTAAATAGTTTCTATTCATAGCACCTTAAACCACCTAAGAAAAGCGAAAAACTTCATGATCATGAAGGGGACTCAATAATCATTGAAAGAGTATCAATTTAAAACTGATAGAAGTATGAGTGTGACAATCCAGCACTATTGTCACATGCTAATAAAACTAAAGCCATTCCTTGCTCTACACTGATTCTTATTGGAGATTGGAGCCCATTATAACAGGTCTTCCAAATTAATAAGAGAAATCAGAGAGAAGTGCGCATTGCTTCTATAAAAGCATCTCATTCACCAATTTAAATCTAGACCTGGATAGCTTTAGTGATATTAAAAAAATGGGTGTGGGGCTTTTTTTTGGGGTGATGGGGAAGGAAGTGATAGAAGAGCAAAAATCACATGACAGACTTTGACTTCATGTTCTTCCCTCTCTGTTTGTGGGTTGTCCAGAAACTTGGAATTCAAATCATATCATTGTTAGGATGTCAAAGGAGAAATTCTACAAACAGATAGCAAGCAACCAAATGAGCAATATACTATGCAGACAACTAACAGAAATAAGAAAGATATAAAGTAAGATAGGGGAAAATTTGTTTTCCCAAATAAAATTCTTACAGCATAACACGTATTTTTATCACAGTTTGAGATCATGCTTTTGAAAACATAAATAAATAAATTAAGCAGTCTACATTTCAGCCAAGAAATTCACAGTGACATGATTCTGCGCATTATTGAATATTAGAGAAGAGCCACTCCAAGTATAAAGCTAGTCCTAGCTCTACCCAGCTTCCCATAAATAAATACTCTTTTCAACTAAACTATGCATCACATTAGGATGATCAGCATTGGAAAAAGGCAATAATTACTCGACACCATCTTTATAAGCAATTATTTATTTGTGTTGGCATTGCCCTTAAAACGCTATTGCGCCATTTTTCCCTTCATATTGATACACCAAAATTCAGCAATCCATCATAAAACATTATCACAACATAGTTAAAATATAAAGATAAGATATGGAACAAAAATTGCTAAACACAAAAATAACAGAAAATGAAGTTATTTAAAAGCTAAAAGAGGGGTAAGATTAAACCTGCTTCAAGGATATCGGAAACGTCAATTTGCCAGAAACCTCCAGAGTTTTCACAATTTCTTTCATAATCTCCCTCCAATTTCTGCATACACCAGCACAAGCAACCACATTCTTCCGAGATGGCCAAGTACACTCCGATGCCTCAATTCTCATTAGTACATCCCTCAAAAGCTCGGGCGGCATGTTAGCCCAACAGCTCTGATTAAATGCATCAACAGGCACAAAAGAGCTATCTTGAACCACTCTTTGAGACCTGGATCGCATCCCATAACCAAATTTCACATCGAACCCTTTCCTAGACATGCTCCCAAACTCACCCCTCATGTCCTGAAGTATGCTTTTGAAAGACATATTTACCCCTGAAATTTTCCACTCTCAAGAATCAAGGCCCTCAGAAAAAACCCCCCCAAAAAAAAAGTATCTTCAAATGTCCGATCCTCAGAAAATTCTTATCAGTCACATTTACGTAGACAAAAATCGCACTGACAGAAAATACCCAGAAGCTCAAAAGCTATAAATCTATACTTTAGATGGAAGCAAGTTACTATTCCCGCTAATTCAGCCCCAAAAATGTGAATATCGATAACAACACATCTTCAAAAAGGGGATTAACACATAACTAAACACAGTCAGATCTACAGTTCCACAATCCGAGAGAATTAGGACATTGAAACATAAACCAGTATTATCCACATCCACAATTTCCAATAACTTAATGAAGTGTACAGATATTGGGATGAGCAAACCTCAAAAGAACAACGATGCAAAGGGATCTGGAGGGAAGTAAAATCGGGACTTGGGATAGGGCATTGAAGCACATTGCGGTTAAACAAGGGATTAAAGTGGAGAGAGAGAGAGAGAGAGAGATTAGGGTTTGGTATGCGCTGTGATGTGCGTGTCTGTCATGGAGCCAGGGGGGTCAGGCCGAGAAGACCAGAATTTACTTTGGATGGGCCCCGTTTTTCCTATCCAATAGTTGCATTCCATCTATCTGCGCGCCTGGGTTCCCACTTCCCACTATGTACCCAATGTATTGATCCATCCTACTACAAACCTGAGGCAATTAAACACTGACATGGAACTAGTGGCGTGCAATTGGTCGGCTTGATTCAAAATCGAACCGGAAAACTCCAAAATTAAAGTTTTTTAAAATTGTATTGTAATCAAACCGAATCAATCAGGTCAGTTTGATTGCGTCAATTCAATTTTGGACAAAATAAGCTTATTATTTTTATAACCAAAACTAAAATTATAAATCAAAACCGAATAAGTTAACCTAGCTATATTAGTTTGGTTCCATTTTCCTGTTTTAACCGGACTTTGCATAACACATATAATCTCATGTTTTGTCCTAAACACAACTTTTTTTTTTTTTTTTAAACCGTCGGTTATTCGGATTCTGCAGGAGACCATCATGAGAGCGACCCTTTAAGGCTAGGGTTCGAACCCTGAAGATGCAGCACACTGATTTGTATATAATTCTAAATTTTTCCTATTAGCTCGTGATAGTGATTGAATATTCAAGTTTTTCCTACACATTATAATAATTCTAATAAAATTAAATTTATTTTGAAAGTATTTTAGGTTATATTAAAAAAATTAAAATTATTTATGGAAGTTCAACATAGTTTCCCAAGTGAATGGAATAGAGTAGTTTAACCATGTAGGAAAAAATCATTCTCCAAAATAATTGACATAAATATAATATATAAAATCTTACTCTAAGAATATAGAGTTGGGATTACAAAATAATCTCATTCGCTTTTGGTGATTTATATAATTTAATATTAATTTTTTTCAAAGTATAAATTTCTAAAATTTGCTCGGTATATTCTTTACTGTTAAAAGATTTATTCGCATCAATTTATAATTGGATAATTCATTCACACGCTAAAAAATTAATAGTTAATTTATTTTGTTTTATTAAAATAAAAAATTAGAAACTAAAAAAAAGGTATTTGTACTATAAAATATTTTTATTAATAGTTATATTTGTAAAGTTAATAATGCAACTAATGAAATCATCAGCTAATTAAATCTTCTATTTAAATTGATTGAACTGGATGAGCTTAATTCATTTTTTAACATGTACAAACCAATTTTAATTTTTATAAAAAAACACAGATTTTTTCAACTGGATTTTGTTCTTATAAACCTCAAAAATTAAGCCCTAAACCGTTACAAAATAGACAAAAATCAAACTAAATCGATTGAATTGAATTATTTTAATTTAATTTGATTAGATTTATTTAAAAAAAAAAATTAGTTTACTTATTTGATTTGATTCAGTTTGATTCGAATTGAACTGATAAAATCAACAATAAACACATATAGCTAATTGTTCAATATAAATTAATTATCAACTATATGCAACAATTGAACTTAACATCTCCTCAATTTTAGTAGTTTTTTTTTTTTTTTAAATCTAATACATTGGAATAAAAAAATATAAATGAAAAAAAAAAATTTAGTATAATATATATATTTTTAATCCCTTTATAGATTATTTTTTATATCAGGGAATATTTTAACTTTTTTCCATTTTTATTTTTATTTTTATGTCTCTATAAAGAGTTTGGGGGCCAATCCCATGTGCACCCTCTTAATATAATCCCTCTTGATATAATTGGCATGAATAAATTCATCCAACTACAATGAATGTTATATATAAAGCTATGTTGAAAAAGCTTATTTGATAATAAAAATATTTCAAAATTCATAGATTGTCGCGATATTACTCTAAAATGAATTTTGTACTTCTGACACAATTTAAACAATTGGATATATTATACATTAAATTCAAATAACATTTAAAATTTACAATATAATAATCGAAAAATGGGACCCATTACACCAACTTGAGCCTTCTAAATGCACCGGTTTGAATTAAGAATGAATGATGAAAATTCTAATTATTTTAATAAAAATAATTAAGGAATAGAAATACTTTTCTATTAGGGGCTATTATTGGGAAGTCATTATATATATTTTAACTCGCGAATTTATATTTTTTTATATTAAAAATTTTTTAAAATTATGATAGTACATTTAATTTGAAGAATTGATAAAAAGTGTAAAGTTAAATTGAATTGTTTCTTGTTATTTAATTTAACAGAAATTATGGTAAATTGCATTTGAATATATTATTATATTACATCATCAATAGTTTCTTTAATATCAAACAAACACCACGAGATAAGGTGGAAAACTCAAAATAAAGTAATTTCATTTTGTAAGTTTCCATTTTGGTCCATTTCAAAATTTATTATTTGATTTATTAATAAATTCTTAATAAATACATTAAGAGAAAGGAAATTCATATTGTATAAAGTAATTAATCTTTTTTTTTTTTTGAAAATGTATAAAGTAATTAATCTGTATATTATATTTTATAGCAATGGAATAAAATAAATCACCTAAACATAGAAAAATACGGGTAGGTAAAACATGGAAAGATAAGAGGTACTAAAAAAACCGTTGACGATTACTTTGTCGTTGACATGGGAATTAATTAAACGACCCGCCGTAGAATAAAACAAAAGACAACTCAATTCCTTTCTAAAGCGGCAATGGCATTACTAGCGTGGAGTCTACAAAAATAAGGACGAGGTACTTTTTTACATCACCGCCCCACAAAGCACAATCTAGTGGGATTTGATAAATTGGACGGTACGCATTCATGAAATTCAGTAGTCGCGAGCATATCATAGTAAAAACTTCGTCATTACTTTCGCGCGGTGGCGCTCTGAACTCGTCTCTTTTGATTCCCTCCTTCGAAATTATCTATCAAAAAATCAAAAATTCTCTTGGTTTTGTTGTTTGTTTGGAATAAATCTCTCCCATCAAAATCCAATCCTAATTTCTCTCCTGTACGATGCTTAGGTGGAAATTCAAGGTAAGGTTCTGCTTTTTCTTAGTCTTAGCCCTTAAGCTTTCTTTTTTTTTTTTTTTCTTCGTTTTTTTATTTTTACTGATAGATTTTTGTTAGCTTTTATTTTGGTTCAGTTTTAAAATAGAGACTCGATGATTGGTTCATTTGGTATTTTACTCAAATCTATATTTTTGTTTTAATTATTATCATTGCTGACTTCTGTGTTCAAAACAGTGAACTTATTGGTCCAATTGTTGGTGAAATGGGTTTCAATTTGGGATCGCTGGTTGTGAGATTGGGGCTGAAATCAGGATCCGATGAAGTCCATGTTGATTCTATAACTTTGTTTGTTACACTTATTTGTGCTTGCATTATCATTGGTCATCTTCTTGAGAAGAATCGATGGATGAATGAGTCAATTACTGCCCTTGCCATTGTGAGTTGCTCTGTTTTACTGTTGAGACAGTTGGCTTTTGATTACGATGCTGAAGTTTATTTTATTGCCTTAATTGTGATATTGTTAGGTGAACTTGTGGATATGGAAGGAGGTCGATGATTATTTGGCTGTTTTGATTGCAGGGACTCTGTACTGGGGTTATTATACTCCTAACTACTCAAGGAAAAAGTTCACACCTTTTTCTATTCGATGAACATCTTTTCTTTATATATGTTCTTCCACCTATCATTTTTAATGCCGGGTAAGTGATGCGTTTTACCTGTTCCCTTCCTATGTGCTTAAAGGGTGATGATTTGGTGTTTTTGCACCTGCATGTAACAGGTTCCAGGTTAAAAAGAAGCAGTTTTTTAGAAACTTTATGACAATCGTGTTATTTGGTGCTGTTGGGACTTTAATATCCTTTATCATCATATCAGTCGGTATGTTCCGAATCTTTGGACGCACTGTATTTCAAGGACTCTTGATGTAACTTGTTAGTCATTACGTGCATTCATGTTTTCAAGAATGAACTGTGAAGTCACGTGATATACTACAACTTGGCTTATGTTCTTTCAAGGATTTTTAGTTTATCATGGCCATAACTTATTTGCCGTTGCTTCAGGTTCAGCAAAGTTATTCAAAAAATTAAATATCGACTTCTTGGATACAGTGGATTATCTAGGTACTCTCGCACTCTAGTTTCTGTAGAATTATGTGTGTTCTCTCACATATGTTTATACAAGGGAAATATTACACCTAGATGCAGCTATTGTCCTGGACCTATTCAAGAAGGGAAGCCAACTTTTTCTCCTTCCTTTTTCATTTTGGAATTACATCTCTTTACTTCCTTTGTGCCCCTTTTGGGTGCTGGACTAGATCATATACTGCTGTTTGGCTTTGACATCATGACATGTGTGATAATTACAAGCATGAAAATTTAGTGCTGTTGAAACCCATGTTGCTTTATATAATATTGTCTTTTGCTACACACTCATTAGTTATATTTTCCCTTCCTTTCTTTTAGCACTGGGGGCAATATTTTCTGCCACAGATTCTGTTTGCACCTTGCAGGTATAATACCTTTGAAGTTCTCTTTCTAACGATGAGAAGTAAATAAGAATTAACATGATGTACTTTGCTGAGTTTTTGTAATTGATATGACAGGTGCTTGATCAGGAAGAAACACCTTTGCTATACAGTCTAGTCTTTGGGGAAGGTGTGGTAAATGATGCCACAGTTGTTGTGCTTTTCAATGCGATCCAGCGATTTGACCTCTCCCACATAACCTCAAGTATTGCTGTGCAACTGTTTGGCAATTTCTTATATTTGTTTGTTACAAGCACATTTCTTGGGGTGGCAGTGAGTTGCGCTCTCTCTGTGATATGCTTTTGTTTAATGTTTATTTGCATCTCCGTGTTTTACTTTCATTTCCTTTGCGGGCATTTTCTTAATCTTGCTTCATTTAATTGGTGTTTTGAATTTTTCCTTCATTTTACTAGCAAATTTCCTTTTTCCTTCTATCCATTTTATAACTACTGTTATTTTGTATTAAGTTCTAGAATGCATCAATTGCGCATGCCAGATGCTTTTGTGAACTTTGAAATATCTTCCAACTTAATTTCTTTGTACTTTCAGGTTGGATTAGGAAGTGCTTACATCATAAAGAAGTTATATTTTGGAAGGTATTTTTAAGGGATAGTAAATTATTTTGTCCTTGATTTGTCGTTCAGATATGCAGATGAAACCTCCAGGTTTAGATAAATGTTTGATGGTTTTATTTCTGGGGCTTGGTTGCCTAGGATTTGCAACCCTCCTTATCCTTAATATTCAGACTTTGCTATATTGTTCATTTTGAAAATCACACAGAAGTTTGGTTCATTTGAAACATAATACTATAATTTATCTGGAACTTTGCATGAGTAAGAAATAGCGTATTATGCTTATGAAATTGTGGCATATATCTGGCTACTTACATGGTTAGGAAATTGTATGGTATGGTCAAGGAGTATCTACAATAAGTTTCTCCACTTTTTTTGGAAACTGAATGAGCTAAATCATGCACAATTTCAGGCACTCTACTGATCGTGAAGTTGCTCTGATGATTCTCATGGCTTATCTTTCATATATTATGGCTGAAGTAAGATTTCCATTGATTTGCTAAGAAACTCTTAGATCCTGATAAACGTTTTTGTTAAAATCTGTGTTTACTTTCAAATATTATATATTTGTTCCTGCTCTAATGATATTGTTGTGCAAATCTATTTGTCATCCAGCTGTTCAATTTAAGTGCCATCCTCACTGTGTTTTTCTGTGGGATTGTCATGTCTCACTACACCTGGCATAATGTAACTGAAAGTTCAAGAGTCACTACCAAGTAATTCAAATATTTTATATAGTTCCTCAGTATAGAAGTTGATTTTGGTTCATAATGTCAAGTTCTTCCCCATTGTGGGTTATTGATTCCATGTTACTAAAATTCATCTGCTGTTCGTTTATTTCTGCAGACATTCTTTTGCAACATTGTCATTTATTGCAGAAATTTACATATTTCTCTATGTTGGTATGGATGCTTTGGACATGGAGAAGTGGAAAATTGTGAGCAAGAGGTAATCCTACAGTGTTCACAAGGATAGTTCCTTCAAATCTCTAACTTTGCTACATTTTTTCTGCTCCTCACTGTTAAATATTATCAATGGAATAAAATTAATACTATCTAAGATCTCTTATTATTGCCTTCTGCTAAATAATTTGAGTGCTAAATAATTTGAGATTTGTAATTTACTGATTGGAAAGAGCATGTATTGACTCTGCACTTGCTTTTCACAGTCCTGGTACTTCAGTTGGTGTGAGTTCAATTCTTCTTGGGCTAGTTCTGATTGGAAGAGCTGCTTTTATATTCCCTTTATCTTTTATATCCAACCTGACCAGGAAGTCTCAAGGTGACAAAATTGGATTAAAGCAGCAGGTAGGCATTTATTGTCCCATAATTTAGTGTTTTTCATCCCAATGAAAACAAATAATTTAATTTTTAACTCAACAGGTTGTAATATGGTGGGCTGGGCTCATGCGAGGAGCTGTATCTATGGCACTTGCTTATAATCAGGTAAATATTTGGCAAAGATTCATAAGTCTAGGATGTTTTCCGTTTAACAGAGACATAGATAGGACAATCAGTTTAAAAGTTGGCCAAGCCGATCATTCTGTTGCTCTTAATGCTATGGAAGTTGTAGTTTGATCCTGCTACTGAAATAAATTGAAAAGTCTAAACAAGAATAGTACCAGGAATTGAGTTCTCTTTGTGTCTTTCACTTTGTTTGGTTATCCTGGTTTCTGCATCTAGATTTTGCTGCACTCTCTGTTATACATGAGAATATTATTCTAATTTTATATTGTTACACAAAACTTTACTGAAATGATACACAGAGCTAAGAATAAATTGATTGATTCTGATGTTATTGGCTTTTTTTTTTTAAATTTGATGCTACCATGCATTCAATTTTGTATTTGCGACGTCCATGCAGTTTACCCAGTCAGGGCATACCCAACTGCCTGGAAATGCGATCATGATAACCAGCACCATCACGGTTGTTCTTTTTAGTACTGTGGTAAGAAACCTGAGCCTGGTTCAAAATTTTCTCTCTGAAAATAATGCATTCATCATATATGTATATATATAGGAAAGCATACTGTCCAGTTTGGCAATATAAGTTAGTAGATAACAAGATATGCTATTTAGGGTAACCAACTGGCCTGGTATAATAGCAGTTTGATTATTACAATATTTATTTGGATGGACAAGGTTTCATACTAGTGTGTATTATCAGTTTTTTGGCATGAGCATGAAGCTCACTTAATGGTGGACATTGAATTTGTAACTTGGGCTCATCCTTTTGTGGAGAATGATAAATTTGATTATCTTAAGCTTAAATCCTGGTCTTGTGTGCTTTGATGGTTAATTATTTGTCTTTCCAGGTATTCGGATTAGTGATCAAGCCTCTTATAAGGCTGCTGTTACCCAAGAAACACACAAGCCATGCTCTGCTTGCTTACTTGGACTCAAAGTCTCTTGATTTACCTCTTATTGCTAATGGAAAAGATCTAGAATCAGAAATGAGCGGTGATGGTAATCCTTCTGGTGATATTATTCATCGTCCAGCAAGCCTACGCATGCTTCTAACCCCAACTTACACTGTCCATTACTATTGGCGGAAATTCGATGATTCTTTCATGCGTCCGGTGTTTGGTGGAAGAGGATTTACGCCATATGTTCCTGGTTCACCAACAGAGGGGAGTCTTCACTAATGGCAACAAGTACAGGAAATTAGGATATAACGAGTAGATAGAATAAAGAGGGTTTTTCATGCTTGTAAATAGTTAGACAAAATTGAAAAAAGTGCTATTGAGCGCCAAATTTGAAAACTGGAGGCTGCATTTCCAAAGCTAACATTTTTAATCCTTGTGGATTAGAGTAATTTGCAGGTTACAAGATTTATATCAAATGATTTTAAAATTCCCCTTCAAAATGTATTTACAAAAAGTATTTCAAAATTGGTTCTCGACTTAAATTTTTATTTGCATTGATAATAATTTGATCAGAGTGGACATTTGAAACGATCTCAACTAGTTTGCATTTATATTAATTTGGCTGCTGTTTGTATTATTCTGCATCTTTTGGTTCTTTGATATTTGAAGTCATGCGGAGAAGCTTATGGGGTCCCTTCGAGTTGAATTCTGAAAAATATATAGGCCTTTTGTTTGTCAACTGCTTAGAGTTCAAAGTTTCCAAGCAACTTTAGGCGCTTCACCGTCACTTGGGCATTCTTTAAAGCCTGTTTTTCCCTATGACATTCATTTTGGACTCCAGCTAGCTAGCTTCTAAATGCAAACAGAGTTTTCAAGATTTCAAATTTTTGTTTCTGTTGCCGTTTTAAGTTTAGTCAAAAAAGATGTTAAGTTTTTTGATTGGTGATGCTCATTTTCTATTTAAATCTGAATTTTATTGGATAAAATAAGAAATTATATTAAATAAGATATAAGGTATATATTAAATATGGTAACAATATAATATATTTAAAGATTTAAATTTAGTTCGTTGAAAAAATAAATATAATTTAATTAAATTAATATTATATAAATTATTCTATAATATAAATTTAAAACATAATAATGCAAGTTAAGTTAATCCTTATTTTGAGAAAATTTTATCACGTGATGTCTTATTTTCTCTTTATTTTATTTATTTAATTATTTAATTATTTTTATTTACTTTATTTTTTCATATTCTAAATACTTAGTTTGAAAATTAATTTTTTTTAGTTGATTTGTGTTGTTATTTTCTTAATTCGTCTTAGAGATTAACGGAACAAAAACAAAAAACAAAAAATAGATTTCTCACTATGCATATTGCATTAATAATGGGTCTCTTCATGCTTTTGTAAAATAGAAAATTCATTGGTATAAAATAATAATTTTTTTTAGTTTTTTTTTTCACATTAATTCAGTAATAAAAATTTATTATTTCAATTGATAAATTATGAAAGTTAATATTGATTTTTCATATTTTAGTAATATAGATAGTTTATATTTCTATATTATATCCAAAAAAATTAAGTTAATTAAATTTATATTATTATAAAAAATTAAATTGCTTGATAAGTAATTTTATTTTTATGAAAATTAGATTGTTAAATTATAATATATTTATAAAATATATTCTTTCGTTAACAAGTTATTTAATTATTATTTTTTTATTTTATTATTTCATAAAATTAACAAGTTTATTAATTATTATTATTTTATTATTTCATAAAATATATATTTTTTTCTATTTTGTGAATGCTTTTAGATTTTAAATAATATAAATTATTCATAACATTACAATTTATATAAAATTTAAGAGCTGTTAAAGCAGTTAGAGATCCTTTTGTTAACATATACCTTGTTAATAATTTTATTATTTCCTAAAGTTTTTTATTTTAAATAAAATTTTTTTAAAAAAGTTATATAATTTTTATTTTATTATTTTAAAAATATTATTTTTTATTTTGTGAATGCTCTAAAATTTTTAATATAAATTATTTATTAGAAAAAATTGATAAAAATTATATATAAATGAAATTATATTTATTCACAATATATAAAGTCAACGTCTACAAATAACTTAAAACACACATTCAAAAAAACTAGTTTTAATAAAAGAATCAATCATGTCCTAAATTTATTTTAAAATAAAATTTAAATTTATATCGAATTTTTTAAAAAGAAAAGTCGGAGTTAATTTTCGAGCATATATTTGGCATATAATGTGCAGAGAAAATAATGAACCTACCAAATTTAGTTAAACACGCAAAGGCAAGTTGAGGTGTAATTGACCAATATTTCGACCGTTGCTCCCGCTCTCTTTTGCGGCCAGCGATACGCTCCGCGTGATTCATCTTTCACAGCTGCATCCTTCTCATTATTTTTTTTTTTTTTTTTTAATTTGGATAGTTTCTTACCGTTTAGATCTCTTTTTTTTTTTTTTTTTTTAAATATTTGGATCAGTTTCTTACCGTTAGATTCAGAGCCAGATGTGCAATCCAAGCGCCACAGATTAGTAATATAAAATGGCGATCTGCTGAACACTGCTTTCATACACGTGCCTATTTCCTATTGGCAAAAAACATAATTAAAATAACTAAATAGAGACAAAGGCTAATTGGAAACTCCAACAAACTGTGTTTTTATTTAAACGATTCCGTCAGAACTCAAGTCTTTCTCCATTCTATGCCAAATGTACTGAGCAGTGAGCTTCTTTGAGAAAACAGAGGAGGAGAGGGAGAGAAAGAGGTTCCATTGTCGTCTCTTATTAGAAGAAAAGAAGACTACTCGGGTACACTTCCTTATCTGTGCTTTACATTTTTTCTGCGATGTCTGCAATTTTTTTTCTTCCATTCATTGACCTCCATTTGACTATTCAACTGTCTATATGGCTATTCTTCTTCCCTAACTTGCTGCGGATTTTCCGTCTCTTGTTTTCTTATTTTGAATTTTGGTAAAAACTTCATTTCAGGCAACTGCTTTGGCGTTTTCAAAATTGCAGTTTTCCCTCTGTGGTTTTAGTGGTGTAATGACTAAACTAACCCGGACATTTTAACTTAATAACTGTATTTTTACCCCATTTTTGTACTTAACAATAAAACCAGTAGTACAAGCGGTAACGTTTGTCTTGTTTTCTGCGATTTTCGGCTCTATATTTTGTGGATTAGGACGGAAATTGATGAGCTTCCTGATTTTTTGCTGTCTTGTTCTATATAAAATAGGTAAGGAGGAGGGTAATCAAATCAAGAACAAGAAAAGAAGAGAAGAGATGATGGAGATGACAAAGAAGGAAACGTCACATCGGTGGTGGTTTGATAGTCACCATAGCTTCAGGCGCTCTCCCTGGCTACAGTCTACTCTTGGCGGTGAAAAGCTTTTTGAACCCATATTTCTTTTTTCGTTTGTTTATTTAAAGCTGTGGTTCCTGTTCTTGGTTTGTGTTTGGTTTGTCTTGCATTTGATTCTTGAAATCTTGGGTCGCTTTCTCTTGATTCTTGACAGTTTTGGGAGTATGCGTGTGTTTTAAAAAAAAATCTGAAGTTTTGAATTTTTTCTTTAATCTAGCTCCTTTTCTTTTACTCTTTTTTTTTTTCCTTTTAATTCCCTGTCTTTCAGTGCCATTCTTATTAGAAATTGACTGGCCAGTGTAACTAGTAAAGAACGGGTCTTAGTGTTACCTTGTTGGGGTTAGATTAAGTCAATGGATTCAATTTGGTATATGTTTTCTAATTTTGTAAATTTGGTTTCCCGATAGCAAAATGAAAAAAATTGTAGTATATGGCCGCTGGATCTTGATGGATTAAGAAACTACAGTGGTACAATTCTTTAGTTAATTGTTATGCAGAAACCGTAGGGCACTATTCCAAGAAATAGTTTCTTGTCACTTCTTGGATTCGAGAGGAAGGTTCTACCAAATAAAGTGGACGCTATTGCATAACAATAGATTAGATGTTAAAATTAGATGAGAAAGGATAACAGTGGCAACTGAAAATGGAATTATACTGACTGGGAGAGAACCTCTGGACACTATGATGTGGGCCATATCTTCTCTCCTTGAGGAGGGTCTTCTGCGGTTGGATTTGGGTAACGGCTATATCTGGTCCTAAAATTTGTTGAACGAGTCCTATTTATTCAGATAAACTCGAAAATAAATAAATAACAATACTAGGACTTGATTATACAAAGAAGTGTTAAAATTTAACTACAAAAAGAATAAAGATTTAGGAGATACAAGTTATCAACTTATTATTATGTTTGTGATTTGATGACCATTAGCAAATATCATAGTGTGGATGGCCTGGTATCCTGGTCTGGCAGGTCCTTGATGCGGAGGGCACTTGAAGTCACTAGCAACTGTCTTCTTTTTTTGTATTTATAAGTTACTTAGGAATTGCTTCTGAAGGTTTATTTATCATTTTTAAATTTCTAAAAGCATTCGTTATAGCCTAATAATGGACCCCATTGGTATTTAGTTAAACGTAAACCAACCTTTCTGAAGTATAAAATGAAGATTACTTTTGAGAACTCTGAAAGTTGGTGGGTCATGCACTCTTTTTAAATTTTCTTATTCCTGCATGGACCCCTTTGATAAACTAACTTAATGAGTCTTTTTTCTTTCCTTTCCCATTTCTTTTTAGTCCTAGTCAACCTGGGATGTCGATAGTTACATACATAAACCTTGATATTTAGTTTGATATACTTGAACTAGTCATGATATGTTTTGGCATGAGTGACTGTCATAAATATGCCAAGGTTCTAAATTGGTGTTTAATAATGCATTTTTTTTTTGGTATTTCCCAGGATTGGTATTTCCAATCTAACATTTCTGAGATTTTTTATTTCAATGAGTAATTTTTTAACTATTATCTTGATTAAATGATTGATTGGTGGTATCTAAAATCTGTGTCTATCAGAGCTAGACGTGAAGACGAAGGCAATGTTGAAACTGATAGAGGAAGATGCAGATTCCTTTTCCCAACGTGCAGAGCTGTTTTACAAGAAACGACCTGAGCTAATTAGCATGGTTGAAGATTTTTACAGGACATATCGCTCGTTAGCAGAACGATATGATCAACTGAAGTCTGACTCCGCAAATCGCCTCCTAACAACATTGGCGTCCCCATTTTACACCAAATGTCTGCCCCAGAAGTCAATGGAGTCCCCATTTTACACCAAATGTCAGCCCCAGAAGTTAATGGAAGAGATGGATCAATCTTGTGACAGCAGCTCTGAAACTTATGACCCAGAAGACTCCGCAGAGTCTGAAGTTGATGATCCTGAGCTGGAAGATGAAACTGAACTTGACGCAGAAATGGGCGAAGTTGTGGAACCAGAAGTTGAGGAAGCAGAACAAAAAATAGAAACTAGAGTAATAGAAGTTTCAAGTGCAGTTTCCAATGAAGAAATGGCGAAATTGCAGGAAGAAATAGAAAGACTCAAAGAAGAGAACAGAGTTCAGAGGGATCAACTTTTCAAGAAAGATGAAGAGAAGAGAGAAGTTATAAGACAGCTCAGTGTGGCTGTAGATGTGCTTAAGCTAGAGAATGTGGAGCTAAGGAAGAGTGTGGCCAGAGACTCCCCCAAGACCAAGAGAAAGAGCCTTTTTGAGTTCGAGAAATTGAAGGATATATTTGCAGGGAAGCTTTTCAACGGATCTTCAAATTCTCGAGGCACTTTAGTAGCTGTTTAGATATAAGTTTGTAGCCAACAAATACTTGTAGACAGGTTATATCTAGAATAGTGTGTATATCATGTGCTAAATTTAGATAGTCATTACATAGTTTTTTTTGAACTCTATTTTACGAAGTCAATGTAAGACTAATCTTTAGCATGCTAAATTTATAGCTATCGTTAATACTAGTTCAATATTTCTAGGCATGTAATCTTGAGAATTTTAATCGCAGGTAAAACATATTCAGTGTTTTTATATCACTGCCTCTTCAGTGAATGTGTAAGTTCAATTGTCTCATAGAAACAAATCCATAAATGGGTGCATAATCTCTAAAAGATTGGGAAAGGAACAAGCAAAAATATAAAACATAAAATTTACAGTTTTAGCAGAGATTCGTTTTCTTTCTGTAATTAATCTCAAAAAACCAGAAGAAACAGAGAACTATAAAAAAAGAAATTGAATCGAGACTACAACTTTATTTATTTATTGTTTGTGAAGACACTATCCTGTCACAAACTCACAACAATGGCACGCTTTCAATTTCACCTAACCCCACAATATGTCACACTATTATATACTAGAAAAAGACATCAAAAACAGGAAAAAAAAGAAAAAAGAAAGTGAAACCACTAGCAACAATCAAGAATGGAGCGTCCAACAATAGTAATAGTACCTTAAAAAGCAGAAAGCTGCATCAAAGAAAACACCACCAACAGCAAACCAAGAAAATAAACAGCAGCTTGGTTTACAGAAGTAGCAGAAGAAGCTGGTAAAGACCCAGACGGCGAAAATGCCATTGAAGGACCTGGCGCTGGATGAATAACATCTGGATTTGGAGGGCTTGGGCTTGAAGGAATAGTGGGTAGTGATGATTCAGCTGGAGAAGGCACTGCCACTCCCGTTGTAGGGAAAACAGGCTCAATGTCTGGTGACAAACTTGAAGTTGGTGGGGAAGAAAGAGGAGCTTCAGGTAAAAATGCTGGTGCTGCTGATATAGTAGAAAATTGTACATGTACTACATGACTTGTAAAAGCTAGTGAAGCAAAATATGCCATGAAAATAATAAACATTGTCAAGAATGACCAAAACGAAGCCATTAATGATGATAAAATCATTCACCTAATATCAACTTCAATAAATGTGCAGACTGCAGAGAAAGAGGAAATGAGAGAGAGAGAGAGAGAGAGAGAGAGAGAGAGAGAGAGAGACTGCAGAGAAAGAGGATGAGAGAGAGAGAGGAGAGAGAGAGAGAGAGAGAGAGAGAGAGAGAGAGAGAGAGAGGGAAAGAATTAGCTATTATGAGAGAATTATGAGGAGGTTCATTATTAAGGCTAAAAAGGGTGGTTCTTGATGGGAAGGTCTGGTTGTTGGCTGTAATTGCTACGTGGCATAAGCTTATCGGTCCTGATTTTGTGAATACAGCTTTGCATTCTAGCTAAGGGACAAGACTTATATGCAGATTGTGAATAGGATCACATGAATGGTTTTATGCGTTTTATCCTTTTCTGGTCCGTGAAATTCTTTAGTTAAGAAAAAAATTCCCAGCACATGTCTCTAATGACTACAAATTCTTATAATAATAATAATGATGCTTTATTGGTTGCATGTTAATCCGTGACACCTTATGTGGGTTCAATCTTCCCTGTGACACCAAAATATGGGAAAAAATGCATAATTAGAAGCTTTAGTTCATCTGGGTTTTGCTAAAAATGCTGTTTTTATCTGTGCATAATAGCCAGATACCGTTTCTGTTTCTAGTACTAGTAGAACTCTTCCCATGACTCAGGTCATTCTGTTCCCTTTGTCACTTTGCAGGAGAGATTTAATCTTTATTATTAATTAATTAGATAATGTAATCACAGTGGAAGGAGAATGGGTTATGTACCCATCACTGTGTGTTTGTCCATATTCCCAATTAAAGAATGGTGGTAATTTTTTTTTTTCCTAAAGATATGATAATTGATTTATAGCAGTAAGGTCAACAATTTGATTGGTGGCCAAAGGGGAAAGATATATAGAGGTCACTAACCATGTTTCTAGTTGACACTTGACAGGTCAGTACACCATAATAGCTTTTGGACTTTTATCACAAGCTTTTTGTTTTCAAATTAAAAAAAAAAAAAGAAAAAAAACTTTTCACCTTCCCATTCTTTCAAATAAAATAAGTAAATTAATTTTGTTGCTGGCAGATGGTTTTTGTCACAATATGTACAGTAATCAATAATATTGGGTATAGAATACGGTGCCGTTTTGTTTTGAAATTTTAGATAATTCAGTTTATTTTTTTGGTTTGGTTAATACTTAATACGAGTGTAGTGTAGGCCTGACTCATCAGATGGAGCCTCATCTAAGAACATGGTGGAGCCCATATCAGATTTGGTCATTTTCAAAGGAATATGGAACCACAATCCATTGGGCCCTTTGAAAGCCTGTAATTTGAAATCCTGGCCTTCAATGTTCATGGAAGAATCCAAAGCAGAGCCTGTTTACATCCCGTTATATTTACATTTTTCTTCTCGTAATTTCAATATAAAAGGGCTCTCTTCTTCTACATTAAAGATATATATATTAAAAATTGCACATTAAGACATAAAAGTGGTAAGTGCGTATACAATCTGACAATAGATCCAGGTTCAAATTTCCTCTCTTCTACTACTCCAAAAAAAAAAAAAAAAAAAAAAAAAAAACAAAGAGGCTAACATGTAGAAAAAAAAAAAAAAAAAAAAAAGAGGCTAAATGTAGAAAACCAAAATTAACATTCTTTTTTCTCAAAATAAAAAGAATGTTAGGTTAAAATTTAGACTTTATTCGGAAACTTTTTAAGTAGCATTTAGCGAATCTTAAATTTAAGATTTAGGATGTATTCGGCAACAACTTTTTAAGTAGTCATCAAAACACTAAAAACTACTTAAAAAGTTGTTCGATAATATAGTGTTTGGATTAACTTTTAGAGGTTAGTAGAATGTTACGTGAAAAGTTAATTCATGTAACATTTTATAAAAAACTACTCAAACAGGTAATAGCTAAACACTGCTAAAACAGTTAACAACTATCAAAACAGCTAATTTTGCCGAATAAATTCCTTGGCAAGAACAAAAATGATTAAAAAAATTGTCCTTAGATACTAGGAAGGAGTTTAGCAAAACGTTTACCAGAAAATGTACAATTCAATTAAAGAAGCAATATTATCGTTTACATCTTCACTTAAAGAAGCAATTTTGTGAACTTCCTCACTTTCCTTTTTCTGCCTCATCTCCTACTTATCCCTCAAAACGACAATTCATCCAATACTTAGACGATTACGTTTCTCATTTCAAGATTTCTCCTATCTATCAAAGATCCGTTGAGTTGGCCACTTATGATGAAGGGATAAAGAAATTGATTCTTAAGGCCAAGAATGTTAGTTCTGGTGATATTGAGGAATATTCTGCAAGTTTTTTGGTGGTTGCCAGTGGAGAAACTTGTGATCCTTTCATACCTGAGATTGAAGGATTGAGTAGTTTTAATGGCGATTTCTTTCATTCTACACAGTTCAAAAATTAGCAAGGCTTATATAGAGACAAGAATCTTTTGGTTGTTGGGTCTGGTAATTCCGGTATGGAGATTGCTTTAGATCTAGCCCACCATGGTGCCAAAACTTCCATTGTTGTCCGTAGCCCGGTAAACATATCTTCAACTCCTACCTTACGAATTATAAATATTTTAGTTTCTTGAATTTACTAATTCTGAGTTTTATCATTTTTGAAATTGATTTATCAGGTTCATGTTCTATACAGAGAGATGGTGTTCTTGGGATTGGTTATGTCGAAGTATTTTCCATTGGGGATGGTTGACTCATTCATGGTGTTGCTTAGCAAACTTGTCTATGGAGATTTGACCAAGTATAGAGTTTCTAATATATATTGGGCCGTTTTTCTCAAAACAAAAAAAAAATATTGGGCCGTTCTGCGTTAGGATGATTTTTTTCTTATTTCCAACTTGGGCTCATCCCAAAATTGAATGCTCCCTCGTGCTCTTTATTTCGAATTAAATCATTAAATAATTAAACTATTCAATGTTATAAATCGTTAAGTCAAATGGTTGCAAGGCTCGATTGCGCTGTACTGTATACACTTATATACTTGACCTTTAAAAAAAAAAAAAAAAATAAAACATCAATAATCAAGCCTTAGTTTTAAACTAATTGGAATTGACCATACGTGGGTATAGATTTAAACTTTATTAAAGCGGTTATAGAGAGTAATTATTGCAATAAACTTTATTAATATTTACTCTCTACAACTGCTATAATAAAGTTTAAATTCATATCTCACATATAATCGGTCCCATTTAATTTGGAATTAAGGCTTTACTTGATTTTTTTAAAGGTTAAGTAAGCTTAATTGTGTACAGCAGAGCCACAACAAAGACCTTACAGCTATTTGACGCAACACATTTAGCAGTTACGCCCACAGAAGTCCATCAAAGCCAATTTCCAGATTAGAAACAGGACCGTCACCAAGTGGATCTCGTTCTTTTACTTGGTTATCACCTGGTGAGTCCACGTATGGCTCCAACAGATCAGGAGATCGTTCACATCGTATCCCATAATCTCGGAGTATGCTGGATAAAGCAGCGTTAGCTGCTTGTCTCTCCAATACAGCAACATAATTGTCATCAAACTCGAAAACTAAATATCTCTCCTTGCATGCTGATCAAGAAAATCAGATATTTCAGGAGGGAAGTCGGGGAAGAATAGCAGAGAATATGGAAAAAGGACCGCACACCACTTACAATCGACAAGGTAGGCTAGGTGGTGAATATTTTTCACTCGAGTGCCATTATACTTCAAAACCTGAAATTTTTTGTCCAAGTATATGCATAATAAGCTGGAAGGCGTTGGGAGTTTAAAAATTCTAATGAATAGATAACTTGCCTGCTGATTGCTCATATCCTCATATCCAATGTTGACTTCATTTGATAGGACCTATAAAAAGGAACATTCACAACAACAGATAAACAAAGTGAATTTACAAATCAAACTAAGATAAAAAAATAGATTTCTTCGGAGAACAGACAGAACTTCAACTGTATGTAATTGAACATATATTTCTTCAAGTGTATATCATTGGACATATATATATATATTTTTAATGTCAAAAAGAAAAAGAGCTTTCAAGATAAATGCAAAACAAAAGAGATGTTAGCATGAAGCTGTTTTTGGATGACAAAGTACAAATGTTTACCTGTGATAGGATGACAATTTGTTCTCCTTTGAATCTTGACAAAGAGTAACGTGCTTTTGCTAGTAATTTCAACTGAGCATAAAGGTAGAACAACTCAAATTGAAAATCTTTATATATATATATATATATATAAATTTTATATTATATTATATATATATAATATAATATAAAAAAAATATCCTCTAGTTTTGCTGCTTATATATATATATATATATATAAAAAAAAAGCTATCCTCTAGTTTTTGCTGCTTACCCCCATAGAGTCTTCACCCTCCGCACTGCCGTTAGAAAGGAAGAGGAGGAAAATAAAAAAAATAAAAACTCATTATTAGCATTAGCATATTACTTGCAACAAGAATTTCATCTATGGCAATGCCAAAAAGCAAGCAACCATTACATACTCTATCAGTGGTTCAGAAAGAGGGGTAAATACCAAACCAGCAATTATTAAATAAGAAGGCTGGCCTCCATCAGCATAATAGGGAACCTAGAAGCAAGGACATTTGAATTGAAATTAGTAAGCACCTATGTAAAAATGGAAAAGAAACTGATAGAATTATTCACATATGGGAAAATAAAACTAGTCCCTAAATTATGTTCAACTTAACACTTAACTCCTTTCTATATTTGAAAAATAATTATGACGTCTCTAACTTATGTTTTATCTCATTATCAGGTCCTTCCGTCCACAATGTGAGCTTATTCCATCCACAAAGTGAGCATATTCTATTCAAAAAGCATGTCTAACTAATGGTAAAGAGTTCACTTTTACATGAAATGACTTAATAGTGAGGCGGAACATAAGTTACGGACGTCATAATTATTTCTCAAATGTAGAAGAACTTAAGTGTTAATTCGAACATAATTTAGGGACTTAGTTATATTTTACCCTTCACATATCATGTAAGAAGCTGACTTTCTTAATAGTATACCAAATGTGCTCTTGGATTCAACACTACTTTAACCTTCATGGGTGAGCCTCCTCTGATGATACCAAGCTCTGCTACATCACCAGCAAATCTGTGTAAAAGCATGCTTACAAATATAAGTAACATTTTCAAGCCTAAATATCATAGTCAGCAGAACTTGCATATACAAAGGCCAGAATTCAACATGCATGACTATCAAGGGTGTAAAAGGTGGGCAAAGAAACGATAAAAATGCTAATTCAAATACCAGGACCTGTCAACATTGCAGTTTAAACAAAAACTCAAAAGCCGCCAACAGAATAGGCAATAACAGATCAGTGGTTGAAGTAAAGCCAATTCCCATCACAGTATTCTGTAATGCAACAACATAACTGCAGAATGTAGCTACCCACAATCCACATACTTCCTTTCCTTTACGTTAGCATTAAAATAGTTTGATCAGATTCTGCATCAATTGGTATTAAAATCTTTAGCATAACATATTCTAACTGTAGACACCCTTTCAACACCTAGTCGGGATTGACAAGCTAGAAGAGTAATCCAACATCCCATATGAAGCCACTGGGGTTACACACTTGTATATCAACACTAGAGTATATAAGATAGTAAGATTGACTGCAATGTGAAACTTTCCAAGATGATGAGGAATAACTTTTTGGCACATAGAATAAGGCCCCTTACTTTTGACTAATAAGGTAACGGAACGCTATGCGCTCATTTGATCGGAACGGCACTGTTCCTTCACAACCCACATGAACATCATCAAAGCTCACAATCACGTCCCCCTGAAAATAACAACAGCATCAAAGTTCTGACAAAATCGGGATGGAGAAAATTGATTTTCCTGAGAAAAGATTACAGTGCCAGGCTTGCTTTTTGGTGGATTTTATTAGTTTTCCATCATAATCACATCAAACAATGATAATTCAGGAGACATGCCAAAAAAAAAAAAAAGTTACAAATTCAATTCCAACATGGACCAGACCTCTTCTAAAATAAATTGCCCGTTTGGAATTAGTTTGTAACTTGGCTCAGCTTGATTCAGAGCCTTCTGCATGCATGTAATGCATCATATAGCTATTGACTTCTCTTTCATGACTATGACTTTTGTTTTTAGTGCTCCTCCCTTTCCCATTAACAAAGATATGTATTTATTCAAAGAAATGTTAGGTTAGTGATCTTGAGAAACCCCATCACAACAATTTATGATTCCTTATTGGACTAGAAGAAATTTGTGAAGCTGCAAGGACCAAGTTACCTCCTTTAGGACATTATTTGCATCAGAGGTTGGTTCAATTCGCCGTACCAGCACACCCTGCTCAAACCAAAATTATGAGGAAACTTGGGCGAAGTATATCATTTGTAGTAGGGGAAGAAAAGGAAAATACCAGTCAAATAAATCTTGCAAATGAATATTAAAAGTTTAAAACATGAAAAATTAAGCAAAGACTAAACTTCTCAATTTTTTGTATTCTCATAAGCACTTCACTCCCGCCCACAACCTTGAAATGTGCAAGTTTCTCATGGCATCCACAAGAAAGTACAGCGCTTCAGGTCACATAATATATTAATTTTCCATTCCTTGTGTGGAACATGTGGGAATTGTTTGTGAGATGGAACAAGCATACGTGTCCAACAATCATAAATCAGTAACGACATCATTTTTGCCAATTTTGACACAATGTAGAACTTGAGGTTTAAACCCCTTTAGCATTGGAAAATATGCAAATTTCAATTAATCCCCTCACAGTAATTAGGATTCCACCTTACTTCCTCAGCATCTTCATAACATCCAACCTTGCACTTCAATTACTTCCATTCGCTCCAACAAATCTGATGGTTAGCTATCCAATTGCGCACTCCATTCTTCCCCAAATTTCTCAATCCATCAAGAAATGAACCACATCAATCATCAAACTCTAATCCTACCCAATCTAGGAAAGTTCAACATGACCAAGGCACTAATATGAATCACTAAAAGCACACTCCACAAAAGGCATCAAGAAACAAATGAACAATGTGCATAACATGAAAGGTAATTTTCAAAGCAAACAAATTTGATGTTTGATAAATAATTAAGACACACCTCATTAGACTGTACTTTTAAGCATGCACGCAATGCTGGATTCTCCAACTTTTGCATCAGTACACCAAGGGAAGGGAAGCCTGAAAATGAAGATCAATGAGAGTTCAATCATGATTTATTCAAGGAAATTTCATTTATTACCATTTAAGGGATTCTATTATAAGGTTTTTACAAGGGGGAAAATGCTTTGTGGATCAATCCCATAGCAGTTGGTGTTATATATATATATATATATATATATGGATCAATTCCATAGCAGTTGGTGTTATATATATATATATATATATATATATATATATATATATATCAACAAAAATAAATGCAGAAAGCAGCAAGCATTGGTAGACATTACAGAGAAATTCAAAAACCATTCATAACAGTACAACATTTCAATTACCATAATGTAGAGCATGGATAAATTTAATTGTCTAATTTCCAAAAGCCCAAAGATGGAAAGAAATGTCATCTCAGCAATAAGAATAAATATGAACTACTTTTCTGATAGTGGAGACAACCTTTATAGATGCAGTGGCCTATTCATAGGTTATGTAAAACACAACTACTAGGCGGATCCTAAAGAAAGTCAATTGACAAAAAGATGATGACACTGATAATTCAATCTAGAAAAGTTTCATAAAAAGCAGTTCCATCTCTGGAATAAGGGAAAATCAGAAGAAGCTTTTAGATGCTTGGTCCTTAAGATTGGCACGCAGTTTGTTACTTGTCAACATCTAATCCACACACCGAGTTTAAATATAAGAACATTCATCACAAAAATGTGCAAAGTTCACCAGAAATTAGGGCATCTCACCAGTGTATTTCCCATTCCTTTCATAGTCAATTAGAAAATGAGATACAACTGTTGTTGGGATCACATATCCAATATTTTCAGCGTCTTCCGACCTGTAAACCTAAAAGAAGTCTCATGAAAAGATAATAAGGAAATAGAAATAGCATCTTAAAAAAAAAGGCTTTGCAAGCAGTGGCAAGAACTTGCAGTTGATTAAACTATGAAGACTTCTACAGTCAAGCATGATGCATTTCACACCAGGAAGGATGAACTCAAGTTCTTCAGATCAGGCCAAATGTACAAACATTAATACAGCAGACAAAAACTAATAAATTAACCAAAACAGAATGCCAGATAACATACCTGAAATGCCACTCCAATGCACTCCCCTTGGTCATTGAAGGCAGGACCACCGCTATTACCTAAAATATAGCAGGTATAAGCATTGGCTCTGACAAAAATATGAATAAAACCTTGACTAAATGAAAGATCAGAGAGAGGAGGGAGAGAATGAAGTGTATATATATATATATAGCCACAAAAACATAAGCCATTTTCAAAATGCAAATACATCGATGTGGATTAGAGAATTGACAAGACAATATCTACCAACCAGGATTTATTGCTGCATCAATTTGAATACCCAACAAATCTGACGGACCATGAGCATATGATGTAACCTGCAGTGGTAAACATGTTACAGTGATTCTGTTCAAACAGTGACCAACAAGATTACAAATGATATCCAATTGACACTGACGTATCAAAACTGAAATAACAGTCATAAGGATTAAACCAAACCTCTATGCGCGATACAACTCCTTGTGTCACTGAAATGGTGTCTCCTCCAAGGGGATATCCCACAACAGTCACTGCGTCCTGCCCATGTAGAAAGAAATATAAAAGGTAGTTTAGAATGTGGAGAAAAATATGCAGATTGTGCATAACATCAATATCCAACTTATAAATTGGAATGACTTCATATACTACAAATGAATGTGTTGCCATTTTGCATTTTGAAAACTTATACAACTACAAAAACTCAGCATAACAGGATACCTTTTAATCAAAACAGCTGTTAGTTTCAAAAAGAAAAAATCAAACAGCTGTTATAATAACAAAAGGGGTGTTTTTTCTTCCTGGAAGCAAGAAAAGAGGAGGGGATTTCATCAAGCCAAAATATTCGATGTGGATTTAGATTACATAACAAATTTATACCATCTGTCATCATGTGATATTAGATGCCACTGTGGTTTAAAGTTTATAGAATCAAATAACCAGTGTTGCTTCTCCTATACAACTTTAAGAGATCATGAAATGCATGTTAACATTCAATGTTCAGCACTTGGCATCTAAGGAAAGTATGATAATTTTAAAATTATAGTGAAAATACAAACAAAGAATCCGTAGATGGAAGTAAAACACACAAGCACACATGCCCACATGTGCACAAGATGATTCAGGACTCTACATGAAAGAGAGAACTAAAACCTGAAGACGAGGTAATCGTCCAAATTGGAGTGGCTCAGCTCCTTCCCAAAATTCCTCGCTCTCTACTGATAGTAGAGCGATATCACAGTCAACACCTCTGGCTAATACCTGCACATTAAATCACCAAGAGGAATTTATGGAAGAAACTTACCAATATCTGATAGGGATAATTGGTAAAAATCAAAAGCATAGCAACATGAGTAAACATACACAAATGAAAGGATCCAAGGATATTTAGGAGTTCAAAGCTAAATGTTGAGACAGAAATGAAGCATATAACAATCATTTACTAGCTAATTGCAAATATAACTTTTCTAAGAGGAATTTTGGTTATCTATACTAAATATGCAAATCATGCAACAATGACAGGAAAATGTGACTACCCCTCTGTTGAGACTTATGGATTAATTAGTCAAGTGATCTAATTTGCCTGTTGCACCATGAAATAATCTCTCAATAAGATCATTCATTTTGCTCAACAATGAATTCACATGTTCAAAACCATGAGAAGTTTGACATAACATATAACAATAATAAGAAGAGAAGCATCATGGTGAATAAACTTCATTGTCAACGGGATCTGCAATCATTTTTATGTAACTAAGCACATTTTTATTGCAACCCATTCAGGATCTTGCAACTTTTAGATAACACAAACGTACCTTAGCCACATATTTGGTATCATCTCCCCTTCTCTTCACTTTGACCTACAACACATAAAGAGGTGAATCAGACGATCTTAGCCCACAAATCATATTGCAGCCTGATCAAAACATGAGCGCCTCAACCAAATTGGGAATCTAAGAGAACAGCCAAGAAAATGCCACTCCACTAAACCAATGCATAAATAGATGAAACTACTCGCGTATGATGTTGTAAGAATACTGGCAAAGTGTGTCAAATGTGTTCATAAAAGTTGTCGGAAAGTATATTACTTGTGTATCGTGTTCAACACAATGCGCATTTGTCAAAAGTTTTCCATCCCCAATCATAAAAGCACTGCAAAATTAATTTAAAAACAAATGAAGATATGAGTTTAATAGAACAGATCAACAACACTAAAGAAATGATGCATAAACTGGATAAAATTTGTAAAGAGCCATCAGGAACTCATAATAAAATAAAATAAAGCTTTGGAAGATTTAAGAGGTAAAATTAAAAATTAAATATAAAATCTCACCTTCCTGTGCTTGTGTACTGCCTTTGTTTTTGCCAAGGAAGGGAATAATCAGGCGCGGTATGTGTGCAGTAAACCTAGAAAAACCAAAGAAGTAGGATCCTTAATTAGCAACTAGCAAGTGTATATAGACATGTTTAACCATACACATGCGTATCAGTATCTATCAAGATGGGAATTTCTACTGCAAGTTACTAAATATTATCTCTCAATCATTCTTGGATTCTGAACAAGCAGACATGCGTCTATTGGATAAACCCATAGCCACTTGTCACCAATCCAAATCTGTTAAAAAATATATAACGCGTTAATACCTAAAGCTAAATATTGAGAAATATCCTCATCTAAGTACACATGACTAGTGGAAGTAGGGGCAACCTCATAGCCACATTTCACCTGTCCTAGGTATTGCAGAAATAACACATGACTACTAGTGGAAGTGGAGTACAAGACAGACCATCTAAATTCTGAAGTGTTAACAGAATAGATGAAATCAAAATTAGTTGTTAATTTACCTTGACAACCGCATCTAGAAAAGACTCATCCTGAATATTCCCAGTTTCCTGCTGAACACTCATAACAACAACTCGTATACAGTTAGTTGATAAAAGAGCAAAGGAATTCCACCAAGAATTTGAATGGTCAGTATCATACCTCATGCTCCTTTAAATTAAACCCAAACTTCATCTTATCTTTTCTTTGCCTTTGCCTTTGCATTCCAAATGACTTATAAGCCATTGACTGAGATTTCCCCGCCTCCCGTGCACCACTATCTCCATTATCGGATAAATAGTACCTATCATCTTTCGATTTTCCCAACGAGTTCTTCTGCGCGCCTTCTTTCTAAATGTACCAGAGAGATAGCAACACAATAGTTAATTACTTGATTAGAGGAGAATCTAGTACCAAAATAAGTTCATATAAAAGAAAAAAAGCAATGAGAGTTTACATCTCTGCTAACTTTATCAAAGGACGATGAGGAAGCTCGTTTCGAATGCCGTTTTCTATGATTGATAGCTTTAGAAGTGACGAAGATGGATCGATGAGACACGGCGAGATATAGTTGGGGAGAAGCGTAGCAGCGGAATTTAACGGTGGAGGTGAGTACAGAGAAGCAGCAGGTAGAGGCAGCTATGGTCATACTGCGGCGACTTGTGGAAATTGAAATTTTAACAGTTTAAATTGATTGTTGATCAGTTCACTTCACTTCAGCTGCTCCGGTTTTTGCAGTTTCCTTATCTCTTGCTTTCTCTCTCTATCATTAACGAATTTCGATTAGGTCATATATTTTTGGCGCCTGCATGTTTTTGACCAATGGGATTCTTTTCTTCGATGCCCAAGCCAAAATGAATAACCCGATATACTTGAAAGGGGCTAAATAACGAAGATCCGTTTTAATATTGGATCAACTTGATCGATTAGGGATAGCAAAGTTACCGGGTCTGGCAAGTTCCCGAGCGGGTCGAATTTTAGCGAGTTTAAACGGTCAATAAATAGATTTGATACGGATTTGGATAGTTTACTGTTTGTATTGAATTGGGAACACATTCGAATTCAAAGATTACCTATTATTTATTTAATTAATATTTAAAAAATATTTTTTTAAAAAAAAAAGCGCGTAAACACTTTTATTTATAAATGTTATAATTATATTAAATATTTTTGTTATATTTTTTATTAAGTCATACTTTTTAAAAAATAAAAATAAAAAATATTTTCAATGTTAAACGAGTAATTATAATTGAATTTATGATGAATTTTGGTACTAAAGGTGAATTTATAAATGAGTTTGAGATGAATTTGTGTACTTAATTTATAATAATTGGATTTTGAACTCAGATATTGCATTTTAAGTGGATACTCGACCCGTTGCCATTTGCAGATCGGACTAAAACTCATATTTCTATATCTATATCTATTACTAACTATATGTTTGTGCTATGCACAACTAATTTATTAAATATTAATTTTTAATATTTAATTTAAATTTTTATCTCTCTTTTTATTAAAATATTTATTTTTAATATTTATATAGTTGATTTGTAGATAAATAATTTTGAAATTTGCATGTTCAAATTTAATTTAAGTTTAATATTTTGTAAATTATAATTATTAAACTATTTTTAGAAAACATATGATAAAATTTTATGATTTTGAAATATACATTTCATTTGGAGGAGAAATTTGTATTGCTAATTATTTATTTAATCAAATGATTATTTTTTTATATGATTGATTATGTCTTGATATTTTATATTTTTGTATTTATTCATAAATTAATTTCAATCAATATGAAAATGATTAAAATTTGTTAAAACATTTTAGAATTCAGAATTCTAGAAATCCTATATGACATAACTTAAGTATTCTAATCCGACGTGATACTACCAAATTTTGACAATCCGTTTTGACTTTAAATACATTATTTAGCTCCAATATTTAAACTTGAAACTATTGGGCACCAGAGTACCAAATTAATTAATTGAGAGTACGTCATCAATTATGGTTGGCTGAATGCCTTATCATAACATCATATGATTCAAAATAATTAGAATAAATCCGTTTTTAGATACTAAATTATCTTATTAATGTACCATTATCGTTGAACATTGGCAATTAATTACAATTTACAGGTGCTCTGGTATTATTGTATTAGGTAGTAACGCACTCAAATCAAACACGAGAACAAGCCAACAGATAATTAAACACACGGCACTATTATTATCCATTTGATTTGCATGTCTCTCCACTCTCCGCTCTAATAACAAGGCAAAAGTAACGTCCCCTTATACGGAATCCCCCTCCAAGCGACACGCGTTATGACATTGGCCCCGTGGCTTCTCTTAACCATCTGTCTTGTCTGGACCTGCTTTGTCTCAGAAACGGTCGGGCGGCCGACGACGGAGATGCTGAATTTCACCATCGCCGATGAAAAGCACGTCGCTTTCACCGCTGTAATTTCTGCATGCAGTTTGTCGTTTTAAGACGTTCAATTCTGGCTTTTCACTGCATAAACAATGAAGGCAAAAAACGACAAACATTAAAATGGTATTAAATTTTTATAATGTCCGTCTGTCCACGGACAACCGTTACCAGTCGCTTTCATAATCAAGAAAAGAAATTGAAAATTTTGACGTGAACAATGCGATTTGAGAAGCAAAAGATAACAGAGAAGCAAATGAAAAGCGAGCCATCAACCAAGCCATTAATTGGTCCATGTTTAAGCTTGCCAGCTATGTACAATAGGGTTAGCTTCAATACTAATTACTTTGTCCTGGCTGTTATATCTTGTCTATCTACAGGGTGAAGAGGACAATGAGTACAGTGACGCTTGCTATTCATGCAGGGGTTGTAGGCGGACAACTCTTTATCTGGATTTTTCTTTCTGAACTTAAATTAATTAGGGTAATAAGAACGAAAAGAACAAGTCTATTAATAGGACAGACAAAATTAAAGTTTTCATTGTTACAAGACACACCTTTTTATTTTTGAAAACATAAGACAATTCCGCCTATTTATTTATTTATTTTGAAAACAGATCAATGATAAAATTTCAAAGGTACATATATAATAGATATTGATTAATTTGTCACATCTTTTTAAAGATGCTTACAAGCTCAAGCAAGAGTAATATTAAGGTAATTTTGATTGGAGTATAAAATTCGTTTAAAAAAATATAATCTAATTTCACTTGTCTAACTGTCAATTGATTAATTCTTTGTGTATTTATGTTAAAAATTCTAAATTGACTTAGTGTATGAAACCATGTAAGATAAATTTATTCTACGTATAGATCTTAATACACCTATCATTTATCTATTTATAAATTTTAAATTAACATACGTATATATATATTTTATCTCTTTAAAGTAAAAAAAAAAAAAAAAAAATTCCGCTATTTATTTATTGTAGTCTTTTTGAAAACTCAGATTCTATCGATAAAGACTTTCAAATTGGTTATCCTATTTATATAATAGATATTGATTAAATTTGGTCACATCTTTTTTAAAGATGTTATACAAAGCTCAAGCAAGAGTTTAAAATATTAAGGCTATTTTGTATTGTGAGTATTAAAGTTTCGTTTTAAAAAAATATATCAGATTCTACACTTGTTATAAACCTGTCAAATGTGATTTAATCTTTGTATCTCTATGTTAAAAAGATTCTAAATTGATTAGTGTATGAAACTCATGTAGATAAATTATTTAACGATAGATATATATTCTTATCATGTATATATATTAATATTTTACTATTTATCTATAAATATATCTCTTTAAAGTAAAAAAAAAAAAAAAAAGAGAAATATATATTTTTAATCACAATCCGGGACCCTACCAGTCCAATAATGCACCAAGCAGGATTAAAAAGTATCTATACACTACAAAAATTTGATCTGGATGTAAAAAATTTAGAATCGCAATCATACACGTATCTCCCGTTATCCCAATCACACAATGACATAGGAGCCGTTAGAAGCTTTAGTAAGAGAGTCCGTTACCAGCTCAGAGTTGCCAGCACCATGATACATGAGAGCTACAGTATGATTTATTTAGCATTTTGAATACTCGGCGAGGAAGGAACTGCCTCACGAACTTACGTATTGGTTATTTTTCGACTCATAAAATAGAGTGAAATAAACGAATATCAAAGGAAGATAAAAGAGAATCAGTAAAGGGCGAGATAACCATTTAAAAGAAAGAGAGATGGAGCACTGAACGAATTGAGGCAATACCGTACACCTCACAGTAAGAGAAGAACTAACGATTCAAATGTAAAGCTCTTGAGCAATTATATTCGCAAGCCATGAAGACACATTGTCTCAACGTGCTTTACTAGGCGAAGCATGAGTTAAAGAGATATAGGATATCACTCAAATTTAGAAAGTAAAAAAAAAAAAAAAAAAAAGAGAAATATATATTTTAATCACAATCCGGGACCCTACCAGTCCAATAATGCACAAGCAGGATTAAAGTATCTATGACACTTAAAATTTGATCTGATGTAAAAATTTAGAATCGCAATCATACAGTATCCCATATCCCAGATGACACATGCTAGAGCCGTAGAGCCTAGTAGAGTCGTACCAGCAGTTCAGCACCATGATACATGAGCTACAGTATTGATTATTGATTGATGAAACGGCGAGGAAGGAACTGCCTCACAATACGTATGGTATTTCGGACAAAAATAGAAATAAAGATATCAAAGGAAGATAAAAAGAGAATCAGTAAAGGGCGGAGATAACCATAAAAGAGAAGAAGATGATGGAGATGAACAATGCAGGCAATATACCCACATAGAAGACAACGATAAAGAAAGCTAGCAAATATCGCCAGGCCAAATAAAGACGACACTGACCATCCGTGGCTTTACTAGGCAAGCCATGAGTTAAAAGAGATATGATATCATCAAATAGAAAGTAGAAAGTAGAAAGTCCTTCTCTCTCATCCATATACACAGACACACACAGAGCACGCTCTACAGGTGGACGAACGACGCCCCCCATACACTTCAGTGCCTGAAGGCTCCGGCAGGTGCAAACCCACAGCGATTCAAGGAAACAGATAATAATAAAACGTTACATTAGTAAGAATAGTTATTTATTTCATTTTGATAAAAGTTTGTTATAGAGAGAAGGCGGATTTTCGTGGCACGGTGGCGGAGGAAGTGGGTTAAAATTGTATAGGTCGCGCCACATTCCACGTTGTTTAGGTGGACTCGACTCACCTGATTCTCAAGCCTCTCTCTGCCTCCTTTTGTCTTCTTCTAGCGCCTATACAGTACTGCAGTACTCTTCTCTTCTCCTTTTTCCGTGCTTTCTGTTTATTTGTTTTCCTCCTCCGTCTATCGCAATTGAAAGAAAGAGAGAGAAAGAGATGACTAGAGGTAACGTTGTTCGTGAAGTAGACGGGTCGAGCAATGAGGTTCGCGTCCATGGATTGCCTCCTACCTACCCCCATGGTGACGTCTCGCTTTCATTTTTTTTTTTTTTCGAAAAAGAAAAAAAAAGCTTTGGTGGTCTTTTGTTTATTTATTTATTCAATGGAATTTTTCGCCTTTTTTTATTTTAATTTTCGATTATCTTGATTTATGAAGCATGTCATTTTATCTTAAAATTATATTTTAATTTTTATAAAAAAAATTATTTAATTAACATTATTTTTTGTTAATCAGAAATTTAAGGAGTTTGAATTTGATTATTATGCTATCGGTTTCTCCTCTGGTTCTCATTCACCAAAGAGACACCGCCGTCTATGCATTTCCTTGTTGCTACCCATTTTATGTTCTGCATTTCTTTAAATTATCTGCTGACCTTTCTGTTAACCCATTTTTAATTTTTATAAAATCTTCTAATATTTTTTTTTTTTTATAATTTTTATAATGTTGCCCTATATATCTCAGGTGATACAGATGACTTGTACACTAAATTATGGCACTCATGCGCTGGTCCCCTTGTTTATGTACCTCGTTCTGGAGAGAAGGTTGTCTACTTCCCTCAAGGTCACATGGAACAGGTACTGTTCTCCCCTGTATTTTGCTGTTACATTTTTCTTATAGTTTGTCTCAACTCCTCGTCCTGTGCACCCTCGAATGAACTGGAAACTATTCCATCCCCTTTGCATATAAAAATCAGTTGACTATTAAGTACTGTATCGTTGCGGTTACCTTATTTTTGCGTCGAAGTAGATGAACTCTAGTTAACTCGGAGTCTTTGACATAAGCTTTGAGGAATTTAATTATATTTTGTTCAATAAAATTAACTTTTGATCTTTCAGAACCAAGCTAAATTCATTAGAATTCTATTAGTTAGAGCTTATGAATTATAATTGACTGAATTAGTTAAAATGAATTCAATTGAACTTTTTGTTCACTTATTAGACTACCCATATAATATCAGTGCAATCGGACATAACTTAGTAGACTAATAATTATTGTTTTGCTTTTTTGTGGTATTTTAAAATATATATATTTTTTTTAATTTTTTATTACCTGCTAGGTTGAGGCACACATGAACCAAAGTGATGTAACGGAAATGCCTATCTACAACATACCTTCCAAGATCCTCTGCAAGGTCCTCTCTGTGCAACTAAAGGTATGCTGCCTTCTCACTGTATGTTTTATTCGCTTTGAACAATGTGTTTGAGTTGAGACACACGGATGGATTCTTGGGTTCTGACTTGTGAATCTTGAGTCATCAATTATATTTTTTGTTAATATTTTTTGTGGTTTTGAAGGCTGAAGCTGGGACAGATGAGGTGTTTGCTGAAATAACTTTGCTTCCTGAGGCAAAGGTTAGCTACTGACTGCTGATTCATCTGATATTTTAATGTGTTTGTTCAATGTTGTAATCCTGGCTTTATCTATTTATACAAAGAGTTTATTAGTTAATTGTTCATTTCTTCTGTCGTGGCAATTCATGTTTAGTTCATCGATTTCTTACAGCAAGATGAGTTGAGCTCAAACGAGGATGAATATTTCTCACGTTTGCCTCCCAAAACTTATCCACAATCCTTTAGCAAGAAACTAACATCATCTGACACAAGCACACATGGTGGATTCTCCGTTCTGAAAAGACACGCTGAAGACTGCCTTCCACCCATGGTTGGTAACCCTGTTGATTTAGATGATGAGAACACAGTGATTATAGCACAAACTTACATAGTTTTATATCTGCATGGTTGGTAATCCTTCATTGAACTCCTCTATTGCTCATTATATGTGCAACATTAAGAACTAATTATATAGTTTCTTAGCATTATGTGAGATTTTGCCATCGGAAATTCCTGTATGGAGTCATCTTCCTTGCGAACTGAATTAATTATTTGGCAAGCATATGTGCCATGAGATTTGGACAAGGAGCAAGTTCATATTTATACTTTTTGGTGCAGGATATGTCTCTAGACACCCCCGAACAGAAACTTCATGCAAAGGATTTACATGGTTTAGAATGGTGCTTTCGTCATGTTTTTCGTGGTACTTTCTTTTTTCTTTAGTTACCTTATTGATTGTAGAAAAAATAACTAGCATAGCCATACGAGTCTTCTATGTACATACAGTTAAATATAATGAAATGTTTATTGTATTTGAAAATGAATTGGCAAACAGTGGATCAGGACAATACGGTAATATGAAAGCCTGGATACAAAAGACATTAGGCATTTTACATGTAGTTGTATTCTAGTTGGACATTTCTTTTCATAAAGTTATACGTCTATTTTTATAATGGAGGCAGCAACTAAACTGCTGTGCAGCAACTTTATAAGAGATTATTAATTAGTATTTTTTGTAAAAAGAGTGAATGAATGCACATATACTTCATCAACTGCACATTATGCCTTTCATCCATAAAAATTTTGCAGGATTAGTTTCGCCACAATCGCAACAAACTTTTCTCTGTTGAATTTCTGAGTCAATTTGCTTATTTTATTCAACAAAATTGTAGGTCAGCCGAAGAGGCACTTGCTTACTACTGGCTGGAGCACATTTGTGACCTCCAAAAAGCTTGTTGCTGGGGATGCATTTATCTTCCTTAGGTTCTGTTCCTCCTCTCTCATTCTGAATGACTTTATTTCATGCATTTGTCTCTGCTAAACATAAAAATTTGTTTGCACCATGATATTTTTGTTGTTTTCAGTCTATAAAGGTCTCTATTTGTCAGATGACTAAGAATAATTGTTTTCCAGAGGACAAAATGGACAACTTCGCATTGGGGTCCGTCGTGCAATGAAACTACAGAACAACGCATCGACAACTGTCATCTCTGCTCATAGCATGCACCATGGCATTTTGGCCACTGCTCTCCATGCCATCAATACTGGAACCAGATTTACTGTCTTCTACCATCCTTGGTAAGCTTATAGCCATATTGACAGAAATGTTGAATATTTTCACCAAAAAAAAGCAGGTGAACTGAGCAACCTGGTATAGCCAAATACTAAGCAATGAACAACTATGTGGCCTTTTGCAGGACGAGTCCCACTGAATTCATCATTCCGTTTGACCAATATATGAAATCAGCTGAAATCGATTATTCTGTAGGTACAAGGTTCAGAATGCTGTTTGAAGGTGACGAATGTGCGGATCAGAGGTGCAAATCCTTGTGAAACATTTAGCTCTTACACAATTGATTCATTTTTTGAGTTCCTATATTTGCCAATTATTGAATAGCATATTCTAGTTCTTACTAAGTAGAATATAACTTCTAGGAAAAAACATTATCCAATAAGATAGTGAATTGTACATGCTATAACAAAAGATGTATATATTGGTGGTCTAAACATTCTTTCACTCTTTCATATGTTAACCAAGTGAGTCATTCTATCCCAAGGATTGAGAGATTTGAAGGCACCATTGTTGGCAATGAAGATGTTGATCACATTAGATGGCCAAATTCAGAATGGAGAAGTCTTAAGGTGAAAAGCTCTCTTTTGATATTGAAGATACTTTCTTCTTCTTAGATATGTTCTGTTTGATTCATTTAAGACTTTGATCTCTTTCAGGTGAAATGGGATGCCACATCGGATGGATTTGTACGACCAGAAAGAGTTTCTCCTTGGAGCATCGAATCCATAGAACCTATAAAAAGAAAGCAGAATTATTTTCTATGCCCACCAAAGAAGGCACGTCCCATGGATGCATCAGTGTCTGGTTTTCCTAGCATGGTCAATGATGGTGAGTTAGTTGTTTATCATTTTCTTGGTCGAAGCTCTCTCTTTTCTCCGAATATATAGAACTCACATTTTATTTCTGAAATGTGTTCAGACTGATAAGAAAAATCTTTTGGCTGATAAAACGTCTTTTCAATACCAGGCTTACTACATGGTCCAATTGAGTGTGCAACACAAAATCACATGGAGGTCTTGCAAGGTCAAGAAAAAGGGGACACAGATGTTAATAAGTTCGATGTGCTTATACCTCCAATCATACCATGTTTGATTTCACAAAATCCTGATTCAAACAGCACTACATTGGGATTAGGGAATCAGTTGTGCCTTTCCACTCATGGCACATTTTATCGGTGTCCCAGTGGAACATTATTATTTCCTGGTGGAAACATAACAAGGTTGGGTTTTCCTAGTAGCAGTTGCCCTCCACTCAGCTCTTTTGGAATCCCCGAAAAGGCTGCAGGAAGCCGAAACTTGTCAGTTTTGAATCTCAACTCTTACAGATCTGGGTCTCAAGACTGCAAAACTTTAGAACCAAAAGATGCGAATGAAATTCTACATGCACCACCAGATGGTGGTGGCAGGTACATGCTTTTTGGAGTCAATTTAGTTAAAAATCCACCGGAGCTCCCTTCACCACAAGTTGCCACTTTTAGTGACCATGAAAGTCTTTATTCTGTCCCCCACATGTCTGAATCCAGTGTTTCAGAGGCATCCAAGAGTACATCTGGCATTAATTCAGAAAATCACAGCAACAACTGTCGTTCTGTCACTGATCTGCATTGCATAAAGGTACTGTATTTTCTTTATATACTCGTGACTTGGACATTTCGTGGATATAGACGTATAGACTGGCTAAAGAAATCTAAATTCCACAAGGGAAATGCATAATGGATTAGATATGTCATGTATTGATAATACCTTTGTACTATATAAACTACTATATTAGATGGTTAGTGACATTGTTGTTGATGGAACATATATGGGGCAAGGCAAATAATTTTATTCCTGATTAAATGTTTTATGTTTGAATTTCTGGAGAACATTTAGGTGCTTAAATATGGAGCTGCGGGAAGATCAGTTGACATCACACAATTTGATGGATATGATACACTCATTTATGAACTCGATCAGATGTTCGACTTCGAGGGAAGCTTAATTGATGGGAGCAGCGGGTGGCAGGTGACGTACACGGATGCTGAGGGGGACATAATGCTTCTTGGATATTGTCCATGGCAGTTAAGTACAAAAACTGGATATGGCTGTGTGGATTGAAACAATGTGTAAATTAGATTTGTAATTTGTTTAGCTGGGAGATATAACTGGGTGGTACTGTGATATTTATGCAGGAAGTTCCAGTGTAAGGTTCAAAAGATGTTCATCTGCCCAAAGGAAGATATTGGCCAAGTGAATCAAGAGTCTGTGTGATATCTTGCTCAATTCACTGTCTTTTCTGTTTCCTTTTTCATGCAATTCCTTAAATAAATCTGAGAGACAGTGCATGGAGCAATGCGTGTGTTGTAGCTTGCAGCTAAATATGATTTCAAGATATGCACTTCAACTAATATTTGAATGTCACATTTTCACTTTTTTATGCCTATTTTTAGAGAGGAAAATTTTTTCCTTGCTAAAACTTTAAAGTTTATTTTGTTTCGACCGGTTACTTATAATGGTGGACATATTATTAAACAATTGATTTTATGTAAGCGAATCGAACAATTACTTTTTTCTTTTTTTTTAATAATCAATTAAGCCAGTAGCTTATTGGTGGTCAACGTATACCTTCCCTTTAAATGTCTCGTCCGACAAACAAAGCCCAACTGTAAAACGACATCACTTTTTGTCCGTAGCACGACCTTAACGACGCCGTTCTTTCTTATAACAGAAAGGTTTTAAAGTTTAAACCAAATCCTTATCATCCATACACATTGCAGAATGCCTGAAATATCCGAAAGGGGCCAACTGTCAAATCTGAAATCAATCTTCCCTAGCGATTTGGAAATACCACTCCTATTCCCGCCACCGCCAAAGAAGAACAGAAATTTTCAGAAACTATGAGCTACTCATTATCCACACCAAAACCTACCAATCTCACCATCTCTTCCTCGATTGTCAATTGTACTTCTCCAGTTGCCATACTTGCTCTCCATTTCCCAATCTCGTCTAATTCAAAACGAATTCGTCCTCCAATACGACTTCGTTTTTCGCCCACAGTTGTCAGATCTCAGTCTCCTTCAAACCCGCAAAGCAGGAGCAAAGAAGAAGAAGACGACGCGGAAGCCCAAGTTCAAGACCTCCGTGTCCCCGACCATTGGCTGCTCCCTTCGAAGGCTCTCCAGGTCGAATTTTACTGATTCCCGTGTTTTTTTTTTCCTGTTTGTTCACGAGTCAAAACAAATTCAATGGCGCGTGTGCAGGAATCAGAATGGCTTAGGGTCACCTTGCACAAATGGCTGGATGATGAGTACTGCCCCGAGGATACCAACGTAGAAATAAGTAAAGTTGCTGCACAGTCTTATTACGAGTCTTTGGTAGGGAAACGAACTGACTTGGGTGAGATCTTGTTGACGATGGCTAGAAAGTTGGAATCTATTTCTTATCAAGAAAGCTTTCATGGGGCATTTTCTTCAGCAAATGCAGCCGTGAATTTGATTGCCCAGCGGATAGAGCTTCAAGGTAAAAGTTTATGAGTTATTTACCGGTTACCTTTTTATTTTGTTCTCCAATTTTCGTTGCTCTCTGTATTTGTCTAATTGCAATACTGGGAATTCTTTCCTTTTTACCTCTGTTTATAAGCACAGGAGGAATAAAATTCTAGGGCAACAAAACATGCTCATATAATTACGGACTTGTTGAATTGTTTGCTCTTTTGAACCTATATGTATAGATAAGCATGTGTCAGTACATACAAAATTATTGCTTAGCATTAGCTCTGTGGCTTTCATAGAATTCTATGTTATGTTGAACCTTATTAACAATGATTTCTTCAACAATGAATCTCAGCATTTTATTTGTTGTTGTGGTTGATTTTTTGATTCAATTTGAAAGGGAATGAGGAGATTGGATAATTCTGAATGTTACTAGGTTATGGTGTTACCTAAGCTCGCTGTGCAGGACATCAGTATTACTGCATTGTATACTAATCTCTTTGACCTGAACCTATATTATAGCGTTTGAATTCTTGGGGCTCCTATTTCTATCTAGACATCAAGTGTAAGGATAAGATAAATGATGGTCTTGTATTTCAACTCATTCCCCAAAACCTTGTTCGATTTTGAGGAAGTGTAACCTTTCACTGCTCCAATAGATGACCTATAAAAATATACATTTAATACTTAAAAAAACTCCAAATGTAATTAACTACTTAATTCACTTGAATATTTCAATTTATTTTTTTAACAAACCTATTTATAGAATCCTCTCATGCACAATCTGGAAGAAAGAAAATGCAAGCTTCAGAAACAACTTCTTAGCTAGCCCATGTCAAGTGTGAAGTTTACCTCAACTTATGTTTCAGTACCGATTTTCCATGATCTTCATGAACTAACTGTTGTCAGATAAAGGTTATACATTTAGAAAGCTAAAAGTGCTGGTATAAGTAGAACCATAACTGCTAGAATGTCTACTTGCACCAGAACTCGACCATAATTACAACCATTACCCAAAATAGTTCCTACTTATGCTATTCCAATAGGCTGCACGGCACCAGTTTTTCTTGAAAGCTCCCAGTGAATGTTAAGTTTGTATCCAATTTTGTACGATGTCCCCCTTTCACCGGTTTTAAGAATTTTGCATCTATGGTGAATGTTGCCGTGATAAGTGCTTAACTATATCTGAGATTTATCTTTATAACAAAAACAACCCCACCCTGTCCATTGGAAAGAGCTGCTGCAAAAAGCATGGTTTGATGGGCTTTCCAGTAGAACAAGATATATGATTTGGTGATGATGTCTAGCAGGGGGAGTTTTAATCTTAAGGACATTGAAATATCATATTAAAGTGCCAATCTATTATTGCCTGAGCATTTGGTCTCCTACTAGCTTTTCATCTATTTGCATTACCATATTAAAGAGGGAACAGCTATTTGGGGCAGGGCGTTATACTCTCTTCTGGAGATACTAATGCTTATAAATCAGTGGCAGTGTCATAACTAATACATGGAAGGGCATCTCAATTTAAAATTTTTCTGTCCACCATCAAATTTCGGTGCAAAAAATTACTTACCTGATTTGGATTTGAAACTATGTTTTAAAAAAAAATGTCACATTGACCTTAAATATTAAAATAATATCATTTTCATTATTTATTTACTAGTTTATCCATTTATTGTGGCCTTTATTGCCATCGCCAGTTGTCACTGTCGCAATTGTTGTCATCGTTGTGGACTCGGAAGCTTTCGCCAATTCTGCTGTCTCCTTTTTCTCGCCGTAATTGAATCATGGAAGCTGTATAAGGATTTATTTTTGACCAACATTGACGTTGAATCCTAATTTTTGATATTTGTTAAATTGCTTCACTTTATAATTAGCAAAGCCTAATGCACCGCCAGTTTAAAGTGTTTCTAGTACCAGTACCCGGAGACTAGTAGTAAAATTACATTTAACTTGCCAACAACCCGCCAATTTATATACATCCCTGTGGGCCACTGAATTATTCAATTAGCTGCCATTGAAATGACTGTCCAATGGTAATGTTCAATTAATTCAATATGTTACACTATATTTAATATTTAGTAGAAAGAAATACGTATTCATGAATTATCAAAATATTTAAATCTTTTAGACCTTAAATATCTATTTCTATAGCTGCCCATGTTATAAATATTATATAATTTATATTTGTGGCATGAATAATGTGATTTTTGAGTCTGTTATTTCACATCTTGGTTCTTTCTGATTGGAAGTTGGGATCTTAGTGGATTTTCTCTTGCTTTACCACATCCGTCGTTCCGCCACGTGTACTAATGCTTACTGTGTGCATTATTTGAGTTAAAACCAATGCCATGTGTCCGTTTCATTCTAATCTTTTTCTTTTTTAATGATTACCCTGTATCTTGTCCATCATTTCCATAATTCTCCAAGTCTTTATTTGACTGGAAAGGAAAGAAAAGAAAACAATGCAGAAAGAAAAATAATAAAGAAGTGTTAATTTTCTTTCTCTAATTATTTTTACCTTCGTGTTTGGAAGGATTTAAAATTTTATTATTAAGATTTGAAAATTGAAAACTATTGAAAATTAGGAAGTAATTTCTTAAAGATAATGAAATTCTGGTTTACTTCTCTGATTTTTTTTTATCTCAATTGAAAAGACTTTTTTTTTTTTTATTTTACTAAATGTGTTTTTTATCTTCGATTTAACATGAGATGAGAGATTAATTCATTTCACACTGGAAAATGATTATATTTACAATCTATCTCATTGAAAGACTTTTTTTTTTTTTTATTTTACTAAATGTGTTTTTTTTATACTTCAGATTTAACATGAGCATGAGAGCATTAATTCATTTCACAACTGGAAAATGATTATATTTTTTTTTTATTTTACTAAATGTGTTTTTTATCTTCGATTTAACATGAGATGAGAGATTAATTCATTTCACACTGGAAAATGATTATATTTACAATCTCTTCCAAAAAAATTAAAGAGACTTTAGATATATGAATTTGGATGAAAAATAAGTTAATTTTACTTCTTCTTGTTGTGGGGTCCCTTCGACATGTGGGACCCATACACATTTGAAAAGAAAAAAATATAAAACACTTTTTTTTTTGTGAGAGAGACTGCTGAACAAATAAGAAAGAAAAAAAAAAAAGCACATTCATTTTGTTATTCAAAGGACGGTGGCCAAAGAAAGAAAGAAAAAAAGGAAAAGTGGACGCGTGATTAACGCGTCCACTGCGTCCCCTTCTCCTATAAAAAGGAGAAGGTCTTCCTTCATCAAGGCGTACAAAAACAAAAGCATAGAAATACATTGAGTGTATAGAAAATTTTAGGAAAAGGTTCCTAAAATTGGGAAAGAGAGAAAATAGTGAGGATTGAAATTTTGGGGTGTTTTTGGTTAAACACTTAAAGTACCACTATTTTTGTAATCTCTTTTGCCACTATTTTTGTAATCTCTTTTGTACCTACTATTTTTAGTGGAAGAATTATTCAGAGTTTTTGTCCCGTGGACGTAACCCATAATAGTTGAGAGGTGAACCACGTAAATCTCGGTGTCCTTATTTTTCATCTGGCATTTATTGTAAATATTAATTTTTACCATGGTTATTATTTCTGGTGGATTCGATTGTCAATATCCAATACGTGGAGGTATGTGTGGTAATAGTAATTTAAATCTTTATCAGCGCTATTAACTTTTATTGTCGGTAATTTTATTTTACTTCTACCATCAGTATTTTTCCGCGGGCCCCACTCGGGATCAGTAATAATCCCAACAACTGATATTAAAGCCTTTGGTTGGTAAATTCTATCAGTTTCTACAAAGTTATTATTCACATGAATAGTGAATTTTGTGAATAGTGAATTTTTGTCAGATACAGAATTCGACATGGCTAACGACGGAGCAATGATCAAATTGACAGATCCGAATTATTCAATATGGAAATCCAGAATGGAGGACTACCTCAATTGCAAAGATCTGTACGATCCAATTGAAGGTAATAGTGCAAAACCAAAAGAAATGAAAGAAAGGCAGTGGGAGAAATTAAAAATGCAGACATTGGGTACAATACGCCAATGGATAGATGCTAGCCTGTACAATCACGTGAGAAATGAAAAAGTCTTCATGATTCGTAAAGTCGTGAACTTGAAGCTGTTAGAGGGACGATCAATTACACAACACCTAAACGATTTTGAAGGACTCATAACTAAGTTAGCAGTTAGTGGTATGTCCTTAGATGACGAGATGCAAGCATGTCTACTGTTGGGATCTCTACCGGATAGTTGGGATACTATTGTGGTATCATTGAGTAACTCAGCTCCAAATGGTGTGGTAATAATGTCTATGGTCAAGAATAGACTACTCAATGAAGAACTACGAAGAAGAGATGTTGCCAATACCAGTTCACAAGCCCTCACAAAGACCTTGTCACAGAGGAATAGGGGCCGGACAAGAGTAGAGGTCCACGGTATGTTAAAGTCAGGTGGGTAGATCCGAGTCCAGAGAGATGAGAAAAATGTTAACCATTGGCGATAAGGAGGGTCCATCTCAAAAGAAATTGTCCAGTTACTCCAAACAGGATAAATGGCAACGAAAGACAAGGAAGAATACAGAAATACATCGCTACAAGATCGCAGGAGAAGATGGTGAAGGTGACTTTAGTCACTCTGAGCAGATTGTTGTCATGTTGGAGATGCAGATATCGAGTGGATAGTGAATCTCTGGGTAGGTCTTCATATCACTTGTGTCCAAAAAGGGAATACTTTTCCACTTATAAAGCATGGAGACTTTGGCAAACATTAAAATGGGAAAAATAGGGTAGTGGTAGACGGTGAAATCTGCATAAAGAACAAGTTTTTATAAAAATGTGTGATTCCGAGAGGTACGGTAACTATGTTTCTGTGAGTGTTACTGGACAAGAAAGGCTATCACCATACATATAGGGAGTAATTTGGAACTCACCAAAGGGTCATTGGTGGGTGGACTGAGAGGTTATTTATGTTGCTCACTATATAACGACCCGCAGAGGCAATAATTTTTATGTGCGAGTCCAAACTAAATCACTTTTCAAATTGAGATGTGGTGCAATGGGATTTCTATCTACGAATTCATGTGTTTGTTGGCGGGATAGCAGTAGTTAGTGGAAAGGGTTGAATGTTGGCCAGAGTCCTCATACCATTAGCAAGGTAAATAAACCCTTGTGATTATTGTTTATTTGGGAAGCAACATCGGGTCTCATTTTTGAAAAGCTCTAGAAGAAGAGACAACAAGTTGGAGTTGGTACACTCTGACGTATGTGGTCCCATGGAAATAGAATCACTTGGAGGAAGTAGGTATTTTCTTACCTTCATTGA